AAAAAAAAAAAAAAAAAAAAAAAAAAAAAACCAATGCGAACGCTAAATTCCTCGACTAAAACGATATCGCCTACGTCTCTGTTAATAAAAAATTTTTTTACAGAGTCGCTTTTCCTCGTCAATATAAATTGGCCGATTTACAATGAGGTGGCTGATAAAATTCGCGTTATCGTAAACGAGTTAAATAACTTGCACGTGACAACAAAAAAAAGAACGCTCTCGCGCAGTCATCGTATGATTTTGATCATTAAACCGAGTTACGATAATGAGCAATTATTCGTGAGTGACAATACGTACAGCGCAAACTGCCAAAAGACACGCGTAGGACATTTCTCGGACGTCTCTGGGACGTGTCAGCCATGGATTGGCTTATTTCGTATTGAAAATAAAATATCGAATATCTATATACATATAGGTGTAATAATTTCTACGATAAATATAAAAGAGCAGACTGACTAAAAAAAATTGACTGTCAAATTGCACAAGTCAATCGAATCTAACGACTCCCACGACAGCCATGAAAATGTAATTCGAGTCATTTCATTCGGACGTGTAAAAGTAATTGAACAAATCTTTCAATCGAAAGCAAACAACAAAACGAACAAACAGTCTCGTTTCAAGAAGTACGACAAATATTTCTCCCCTTCAATTCTCTCATGACAGTCAATAGCACTTGTCCTTGCAGTATATTCCCAAGCAATTTACACTCCGATCTCAATTCTCATTCATCAAGTTAATCGAATGCATTCAGATACTGATTACAGGATATCAGATAAGACTGAGTACAGATTCATCTGCCAAAATAGATTGTTTTGGTCCACGAGTTTAGCCACCTAGTATTGACTGTATTGTTATGCGTTTGTCAGCGTGGGTATCGAAAGAGAAATTTTGAGTAAAAAGTATTTGTAAAATTTAAAAAAAAAATAAAAATTTTTCTGTACAATACGCATCTGATGGTTAAGTACAAAAACAATACTGTTTATAATCTTGCACTGGATTTTGTGGTGTACCTGATCTCGTTTGTGTAGTATGTTATGAGAAATAACATTCTCTCTCTCTCTCTCTCTCTCTCTCTCTCTCTCTCTCTCTCTCTCTCATTCTCACACTACAACATCCTTATAGAAAAAGTATACGAAACTCGTGTGCTTACTCCTAGGTAATATTGGAAGATAATCGTTTTGTCCTCGCCATAGTCTTTCGTTAAACATCATTTTATAAAATAAAAAGGAAATATTAACAGAAGACTAACGGAAACAACGGGAAGGCCCGTACAGCTTATACAGAATAAAAGATTTACTTATCAAGGACGGTACGTACTTCTACTAACGTTAATAGCAATAAATAAAGTTATAGATTAAGTACGCATGAATAATAAGCTGCACCGAGCCGCAAGATGCACGTACGACATACATAACGTATAACGTACGTATATCATCTGTATATATTACACAATTAAAGACATATACCAGATTATTCAGCCGAAACGCACCATCTGAACATGGTTTTACCATAAGACTCAAATAAACGCGCTAACTTCAGGTGATTCGTTTCTACTGAATAACTTTGTATAATCATAAATGTACAAATTGTACGAATCGCCCATAAGAATACAAACGAAGAATATTTCAGCAGTATAATATAAACGCGTGTCAATGATGTTTCCAATTATCACGCAAGAAAAACAAGAGCAACTTGATCGAACGTACAGTCGATAGAGAGGAAGAAGATTACAACAAAAAAAGTAAGTATATGATAAATAGAAGATTCCGAGCTTCAATCCTTAAGTACATATCTTCCTCACAACCAATTTGAAAACATTAGTAATACTTTTACCCGCCTTCTAACGTACGTTTAATAAGTACGTAACGCAGTGTATACATGACTTGCATAGAATCAACTCCGACGCTATTGCCATCTAGCGGCGAATTCCTAACGTTCAACTGACAACGCGTGGTCTGACAGATGTAAAATTCTTATGGCAAGAGAGAAGACGCCGCCAGGAAAATTTGAATGTCAGAGAGAAGAACGACAGGAGGATATTGCCTCGAAAAAAAAAAAAAAAACAAAGATACCACCCAGTCTCTCGTTCTCACCAATCATCGAATCATTACTCACAGACCATCACGTTAACAACGTCATATCCCAAGCGACCGTCATTAAAACGAGTAATCGGAGCGCTTTAAATATCTAATACTGTCTAAATACATTATTTTGATACTTTCGTAAAGTAACTATATACGCTTGGATTTGCTCGATTGCAGGTTAATCAACAGCCAATGGATACGAGTGATGATCTAGGCTGGATCCACTGATGAAGATCAGCCGATCCACGTCGGTCCAGGTACAATCTGGGTGGACGATGACTTCTTCCGGTTTTACATGAGTAGACAGCAGCTCTTCTCGGTATGGTTGTCACTGACGATGTCGCTCGTGTTTCCGGTGTAACGTTGAAAGTCGCCAGGTGTCATCTCCGCGTTGTTCATCGCTGTCATTGGCACGGGTACCCCGTTCCCGTTGGCGTCGACGGAATTGGTTGGCGTGTGACGATTCTGCGCCCTCTGCTTCTTCAGGTCCGACAACGACTTGACGAAAACTACAGACACGTGTATGTTGATCTTGCCGTTAGCATCGGTGTCTGCTGTGTAAATGGGCTGCTGGTTGCCGACAGGCGGGTCAGGCCCTGCGACTGCCGAGGCAAACACGTAAATCCAAATGCTACCCCCCGTCGAATACAAATAATATGCTTTCATTCTATACTCTCTCTCTCTCTCTCACTCCCCCCCCTCTCTCTCTCTCTCTCTCTCTCTCTGTCATCTCATTACTTTACAACGTCACGCGTACTTACAGTTAACAACAGTGGACTACCCCCTTGCTCCTTTATACCCCATTGATTTAACCATCAACCACTTATGCCTTGCATCTTTAACATGCTATCCAAAATTATGCTCAAGTGTCAAATCATCATGCAGCGTGACTATCGATCATTGTGTTTGATCCTATGATAATAATTATAGCTTTGATATAACCGGTAGTCACCCTTGGTCATGACTGTTTTTATTTAATGACAGCTAATAGCGATTAATGACATGATCGACAGTCGGTGATGATTTCTACACAGGGTTTGCACTGTTTACCAGGTATGATACTATACTGAAACACTTGCATGAAATTACTCCAGTATACTTTTCTCTTTCTTTACTCCTTTTCCCACTTTTCTCCTCGATCATCCTGCTACAGGACTTACTCAAAGCGTTCAAGACTATAGCTGGGATTCGAGGGAGCAAGAACTGAAGCGGCAGTGAATATTATGAAAGCGAATGAGAAAAGAGAGAAATTCGTCTATTTCAAAGATATGATTTAGGCTATTCTTAGTTTACGTCTATCGTTGATATGTCTGTACAATTGACTAATCGTCCACTAATTAAACTCCTATGGCTATACGATTCCATAGTTGTCGTGAATGAACATTTTTATATATTTAGATTCGATAGCTACTGCAGTATGTAAATGTCGATGACAAGTATCGTAATAAGACGATAAATATTGTTCATTAGTACTTCAAATTCTCAAAAGCTCCGACTGGCTCTCTTAGGTTTAGGCCGATAACTCATTAGTCTCTTTATCGAAATTGGTCACAACAATTTGTCTAACATCGTACGCTCAAAAAGACTCAAAATCTACCAAGGCTCGTGTAAAAAGGACAACATCTCGTACGCACAACAATAGCCACACGTAGCAAGGATACTGAACTAGAAAATATTTCTGATGACAATAAAAATATTAATTAGTCATAATCAGATCTTCAATGGTAAATACATTAGGTGTATAATATATATATAAAAGAATGTCTAATACGATCCAGGCACACTAAGCTATTGGGCGATGCAAAAGTAGCAGTCCTTTTGTTTTTAATTTTAGAAATATGTGTATATATATATATACACACATATACAGCATGCTTCTAAAACTGAGATATTATATTAAATCTAAATGACTGACGTCGTCGCATGTCTTGCTATAAAGCTTGCTGGACCAATAAGTATGTATAATAATTTTGTAAAGATTGAAATTTCAGATGCAAAAAATGATTTACGTAATAAATTGCGAAAGCAAGCATTACACTGGACAATAACCGAGTAGTATTGAAAACTAGAGAAAAGCAGTAGCATAATTGGCTGCATTCGGCAACGAATAAGGAAGTGAACGATACTCGTGTATCAGCCATATTTATGCCTGTTACGTATCATGAGTTGAATGCACGTATGACACACGTTTGAGTGGCGCTTTAATGCGTACTAGGTGTATTTATGCGTGTACGTTGATTAGGTCCAATAATGCCTGGGACGTACAGCGCACAAAGTTCTGATGATGCAAGTAAGGTCAGACTATCGGTCATGAGCGTGTGATTAATTTAAAGGAACAAGAAAGTGACGTAGAAAACTAACCTCGTTTTATCGTTAGATTCGGGAGAGCACAGTAATGGAAAGAAGAGAAACAGAGCAGGTAAATGACTTGTGGCTAAAACAATGCGTCTTGGTATGCAACATTATATTTACAAAAGTTTTGTGCGCGGCTACAATGCTGGTTAGTAGTTCGTACAATTTACTTTAACTTTGGTTGTCCTGTTTAATTATATTTATCGGATTGGTTAGTCGACATGTTTCGCGTTCATTGGAAGAATTTGAGAAAGAAAGAAAAAGAGATCCATGCTATATCTAGTTAGAGTCTACATTAAAAAATTCTTTCAAAACGCGAATACCGTTCGCCTGCCTTTTTTCTTTTTCGTTGTATCTCTTCAGTTGAATAAAAATTCTTACAGTAGCAACATCCTTAAACTGGTTCTCTGATCTTTCTCTTTTTTTTTCTATATTTTTTGTTGTATAAACGTGTCTGTATAGAAAAGTCGAGACTCGAGTTCCTAGAGCGTAACGTCATACTGTGATTAAGCATATAAATAAATTACAGTCACCGACCTACGTCGCCTAACCTATCGACACATAAACTTGGTTGTACGTGCTAAAATAAAATTAGAGTCACGTACAACACTGAGCGTTTTCTGTCGTGTAATTCGTGATTTTATCCCGATTGAGATTATCGGAAAAGGACGATACTTTCATTCCAGTGTTCGTTATCAGTAATGAGAAAATTATGTAAGCGTTTTTCTAATTTATAGAGATAGTTCCATAGACCATCGTCAATCATATACATCCGCGAGCCTATTCCAATAATCTCTTGGAGGAAGCTACCGCTTACCATAGTGCTCTACTGAACCACCACAACCAGTGCAAACATAAAAAGGCTCGGAATGTACCTGAGTCCTTGTCGACGTCTTCGTGAAGAAAGGAGTCGTTATCCTTGCCTTCGGGACCTCTGCGAACGGCTGGTGTTAACGCGGCCGAGTCTGTTTCTTCGGTGGGTCCTTCGTGGACGTTTGTGCTGTTTTCTGATACTGAAATGTTCTGCGTTGGTGCAGAAATTTGATTGACGTACGTCTGTGAGGAAGGGTTACACAGTCAATTAAATGATAAATTGAAGATAATGGTGGGTTGTCTTCTTTACGAATAGAAATTTCATTACCTGCTGAGCCTGCATCCTCAATCTTGCTTCCTCCTGCGCATCTTTCTTCGTCGTGAGAACTTTGTCCCTGATGGAGGTCCTGCGTACACTTTGCGTCCTCGTGTTTATACTGTGTGACCTGCGCACTCGTCTTCCTTGAGCATCGCGCAGTCGTTTACTCTCCTGTTCCGTTTTCAATTCCATTATTCGTTCTCGGATCTCCGGGTCCTCACAGATGTCTGCAAAAATTTTGTTCTATGCAGGCCAGTGCTAAATACACGGCTACTGTCAAAACGTGTTACAAGGTGTACTAATCGAGTCTCACCAGCAGGGGTCTCGTCGTGTTTGTTTTTGGCGTTTAGATCTGCACCATTTTGCACTAATAGTTCAAGAACTTCTAACTGAAAGACAATGCAGGGACTATGAGAGTTTTGATAAATGGCCATGGAACTGACGAATAATGTTTAGGTTTTCTCCATGGACGTTGAATATTTAATCCGTAACCATAAAAGCGTATGACTCACGTGTCCCCAGCAAGCTGCCGCATGCACAGGTTGCCATCTGTCGTTGTCTTCCACATCTGTAGACACGTGTTGATCTAGAAGAAACTCGACCACCCTCAAGTAGCCATTAGCTGCGGCTATGTGTAACTGTAACAAATAGAATGACTATTATAATTGACTGTGCAGTCTATTTAAATATTAAGGTCAATGAATTTCGTGGAGAGTCGTCACGCACAGGTGTGGCACCCTGATGATCTTTGTACTCTAGATCCCCGCCCTGAGAAGCGATTTTTTGAAGGTCCCGCAACATCTGCACCTCCGTGGAGGCTCTCGTCTCGTCTATTAATTCTTGCGTAACGCCTCGCCTCGCCATTTCTCCTACGTAAGAAAAAAAAAAAGAAAAAAAATGAAGTAAGAAACCGTAAAGCAACAATTATCACCTGCAACGGCAATTCCGTATTATTGTCATCCAGGTATTTACTCACCTTCTATGCAATCTAATGTCTTCTCGTCCTCACAAATGTCATAAGGCATATTGCCGTCGGCGTTTACAGCCAGGAGGTTTGCGCCTCTGGCGATTAAGTACCGGACCAGGTGCAAGTGACCGCAGGTCGCAGCTGCGTGTAGGGGAGTCCATTTTTCACTGTCCTCGGCGTTAACGTTAGCACCAAATTCCACGAGAAGCTTCATCATTTCCTCGTTATTGTCGATACAGCACTGATGTAGAGCCGTCAGTCCATCCTCGTTCGTAGAGTCAGGATTGACGCCCTTCTTCAGAAGTCTTCTCACTGAGTAATCGGAGCAGGAATTTAACACGACGAAAAAGACGAATCATGGTCGTTACTTACCTTCGTCAATGTCGTTCCTAGCTGCTGCTTCCAGGAGCATGACACTGTCGTTGAAAAATATATGACGCTTGTTGCTAGAGTGTCGCGTCTGATGGCGCAACCATTCTTTCTCTCTTTGTCGCCAAACCTTCAGCTGCTGAAGACGACGATGCCTGGCGAGATGTAACCTCTCCTGTGTCGTTAGCCTCTCCACGTGGACCATTTCCGCCACTAGGTCCGAGTGCTCCATGGTTATGTGTTTGTAATGCTTGCAGCTATATTTACCTGCTAGAAAATAGAGAATAATCGTGTTAGTCATATTTGTATGTACTGTAGATGGTATTTGATACATTCAATGACTACACTGGACATGGTTCAGCGTTATATTCTATAATATAAAGAGTCGTTGGATTTCGATAATTTAAGGAAATCCAAGTAACAGCTTTAGAGACATAACTTATAACGTTACCTTTCTTTACGTAGGTCAATGATACCATGTTAGAGAACTTGATACACTTTTGGCACAAACAAAAAAACATTTCTACTGTGAAATTCGTACTTTGTCAAGTAACAAGAACGAAAATGACTTATTTCTTTCGATCAATTATCATCGAAAACGTGACTATGCCAAGAGACTGTGTTTTACTGAACCTATCATGTATATCCGTAAGTCTTATGACAATATTTGAACAAATGGTTTAGTACAGCCGATAAATAAAATCTACCTGAGGCCAATAACAGTGGTTTAATGTCAGACCATGTTCCACATTTACCAATGTCCAAGATTAAAATCAAGTAATATTTACAGTATAACAAAATACGGTAATACCAAATGTGTCTTTCATATGGAATTATCAGTTTAAATTACTTTTAAATTACACTCTGTGAAAGCTACATTCCGATGAAATGTTGTATCATTACTGGTGTATCCAGCCAAATATATAAAACAATATAGTGTTCTACAAAATCCTATTGAACATGCTATGAATTCCTGTTCCACTTTCGACACCAATAAACATGTGTTAAAGTACCTTTGCGAGTACGCGCTTTACCAGCAAGTTTAGTGAAGCAATTGGCACCCAATTGAACTCTGCTCTTCATCATATTGCACTATAGAAACTGACGTGCGATTATTAAAAAAAAAAAATAGTCGCATCAGCTACAAGTTGAAATTACCACTCACGATTAATGGAATAAGGTCGAACAAATTCTTGGGACAAGCAGGTAACTTTGTGCACTGAATACGTAGAATACACGTAATGTTTGTGGCAACCATGCCCCACTAGAGACAGTACAATCGAGAAGGTACATATTTATATTCTCTAAGCCTCCTCTGTCAGCTTAAGTTTTATGCTCCAGAGATAATTCATGAAAAACAACCTTCCCAAGCTTTGGTTTCAAGATATACTGGATGAAATTTCTTCTTTGATATGGAGTCTTATTAACATGGTTTTATAAAAACTTACAAATTTATTCAAACTGACACTTATTAATATTACTATAACATTCTCCATGTACTCACAGCTATGAGGAATCTCAACTTCTATGTTTAAGATGCTATTTTGAAATTAATTATTTACAATACCAATTTTTACATATGTTGTATAATACAATTTATAGTTTGAAATATTTAGTCTTTTTCTTATAGAATAAATACATGTATAATAGCAGAGAGATTACAATGCATAGTTAATTATGTTAAACATTAGCAAGTATGAATAGAAAAAAAGATCATTTTTATGAATCCTATCTCGCACTATATTGCTATCTAATCTTTAGATCTCTCACAATGTTCTTTAGGAAAGTACTGTGTATGCTTTGTGGTACACTGAAGTTCCTAGGTAATTATTAATTAACATGAGACCTAATTAAGTGAAATTAGATTAAAATAACTATACCAGGTTTGCCATAAGAGTACCAATAACTTAGTAAAATTAGAAACTTGGAAACCATAGTTCTATATTAAATCTACATAGTGAAATTTATCACCAGTATACATTTATTTACATGCCATATAAAACCATTATAATAGAATACTTCAATTAAATTCTTAAAAGAGAAATTTTCACTCTCTGTATGACTATGCATGACTAAATGCATACATATTTGTACGTAAGTAAACCCATGTACAAACAAGTTACCAAAGCGTATCAGAATAAAATATTATTCCTAAAGCTACACCTAACTATCAAATGAGATTAAAATTGCAAAAAAATAATATATTGTTACCCAATTTTACTTTTGTGCCACAAAATATTGGGAAAACATGATATCGTACAGCAAGAATATAAAGCATACTCATAAAGATATTAATGAAAAAAAAACAATTTAACGCAAGAACAGCAATTCAAATCCAGAAAGAATTATTTAAAAACCAACAGGTATCCGACAAAGATATATTCCGTGAGCTCTGAGGAAGAAAAAAAGGATTCTGAACAAGGATGTCCATCGAGAATATACTCACGTAATTCACAAGACGGCAAGGTACTCCCAGGATGTAGCACCTAGTGAAACGTGGAATGCGGTTGTTCACTCTCGCTGATCCTTGTCTGTTTTTTCTTCCTCTTTTCCTCACTAGTAAGCGCGAGATACCGGAATTTTGCGTCGGCCGATTGCGACCATTCATTTAACCCTTGGGTGAACATTTAAAATCGCCATCATGATCCATCTTCTTTGTCGCAGTGCAACACCCAAGTGTCTTCACGTGGTGGATACGATGTGACAATAAGAAAAATAGGTTCACTGCTATCACATCGGATCGCTCCGAAACGCCAGTGCACACGTAAACGTTTACCTGTTCGCCGCCATTTTTAAACTACCTGCAGCAACCAATGTCTTACAACACTAAGAACCCTTCACTCTGTATTCTTTTTATACACGCACTGTATAATCTCTTGAATTAATTCCAACTTTCGCCTTCCTTGGCTGTTAGATACTTCAAGTTGAACGTGAGGAAGGCTTTTTCAGTCAAACGACAACGTACTCGTTGATCGCCAGGGTGTTAAAAGATATTTTCAAATGTCTCGCAGTTCTCAGAGCTCACAGACTAATTGCTTGGAGTTCGGACTTGGACTGTGTTATAATGTTTCCTGTAGAATATCAAGTGCTTAACTCAATTTTAGATAACGACAGTTCTTGGATAACATGCGTATGCTATTTATCAAAGATGTTTTAGTTTCGTGTTGATACAATTGCTTCCCTCGAGTGTTTGATACGTTTAAGTAGGCAGAAAGAGATGACTGCAAAAAAATTATGAGTTAGAAGCAGGAGATTTGAAAATTAATTTCCGGAATCCTTCGAGACTTTCAGAATACACCGTTTGCTGTGAGTGGCGCTTTATCCGCAAATAACCGAAATAATCAGGCTCTTTTTTAATCTCTGTCACGTAAATCCTTCAATTGTCAGCCATAAATTACGATTATAAAGTGAATTATGTAGGCGGCAATTGCTCTTGAATTTACGTGAAACGCGATAATAATATCTGTGACGTTAGATAGTTCAAAAGACCAATTCACACCTATAACAACCATCGCTTTACCTTCTATACTCTGCAGTTACACACAGCTGATTCCTGGTGTTAAAGAGAACTGTTTTTAATCGACTGTCCTAGTGATCCTTTCAAAGGATAACATGGAGACCAATTCGAGTAAAATTCATTTGGCCGTCATCGCTGGGATTTTTGCAACAACCGGGAGTCTCCTCGGTAAGCTTGCCGGGAACGTTGACGGCACGTCTCTGGTAAGTGGCGGGAACTCAAATGAAATTCAAATCAGTCTTATAACAAAAGACATAAAAATCATATTCACTAGTTACACCACCTTCAGCTAATTATTAGAACAATTTCTAACCGCGCCAAAATTATAGTAGAATCATTAATCATTATAGTTCTATAGGTCTAATTATATTTCACTGTTTTTTTTTCAAATATTTTTCGACTACTCTATCATCAACACTGCTAAAACTAGAAAGTAAAAATTATTCGTTTTCTTTCTAGTTGTTTCTTCTACTAAAACTTCTACTCCTGGTGCTTATGGTAACGAGTAACACGGCAGGCTGCACCTTCTTCGTAAAGTCTCTTCAAGGAAACGGGTCTTCCTTACCGGCTACAGTCGCAAGTGCAGCCACCAACTACTTTTGCTCCGTGAGTAAAATGTACTGTACTGAACAAAATTTTTCAAAACATTTCAACGCCGGTATGAAGCATCCCTCGTTATCAGGTTATCATCAATTTCGTTTTATCTAATATACGACATTGGAGACAACATAATGTAATAATCACATGCGGGGAAATCTTTAGATTTAAATTCACGGAAATACTCAAGATAAGACACATATAACCTGCTACTGATAAAGAATTAAACCGCCAGTAAACCAACACTTGAAGAAACGCTGCCAGCGAATGGACAGCCGTGTTTAAATGACTATATATAGATATAATTTACGTGATAGCATTCATTTACATGTGGCCTGTCCATTATCTGATGGAGTGTATCACTACCTATGTATCACTCTTAAGTAACCAATATAACTTTCCGTATCGAGAGTACCAATATCCAATCCACTATGCGCATACATAGTTGCGATACCTTAAATGTTGTTTTGTTCTCTTTTTTTTAGTTTTCATTTTACCATGTTATCTGTATCTTTAGGTAACTTCAATCAAGCTGACTTCTCAACAGCCAATCCAGTTTAATCCTCGACAAGTAGTAGATCGCTCAGGGCTACTATGAACAATCTCTTAGATCTAAGTTACGTACGAATGAGCTTAACTTTGTGGTACAGTCTCGGACAAATTTTCAGTACATGAAAACGCACTGTTATATCAGAAAGATATACGGACAGGTATAACGAGCACTCGCGTATAGTTTTTAAATAGACGATACAAGAGCAACTGTCCCTGAAGAAGCTGCGCTCGTGTTATCTTATCTTAAACTAACGGTAACTTACAAAGGATGCGCAGGTATTTGATGCTCACCCAGTTTCGTCATTTATCAAGGGATCTTATACGTTATTTCTCTTATCGGAGCGTCCAATCTTCAACTTTTAACGGAAGAACAATATTATGTGAACGAATATCGCGTGTCGAGGTCTATTCCAATCTACTAATAACTGAGCGAATTAATCACTATAGACTCTATCGTGTATTACTATGCTACCCTGTGGATTTCAAAGAATCTCAAAGGCGCTGGTGCTGGCAGTGAAAGGCCCCTTCGCGTGGACTATCCTAGAAGTCACTTTAGAATGCTTCCAGTCATTTTCAAATGCTAAACAGATCCAAAAGCATTTTCCGCAACACAAGAAGTAGGTAATATTCGAATCATTCAAGGCCGCCAGGGTTAGCTGTGATGTTTTAAAATTATTTAACATAATTGGATTCAGACAGTTTTTATTCATGACTATCACTTATGTATAAAGTCTGACGGGTGTGACCTTTATCTATAATAAATTTCTCAAACCTCAAAGAGGTCAATAACCATTTTAACGTTCTGCCATGCAACCTTGTGGATGGTTCAAGAATTATTTCTCATCGTGTCTGATTGGCTCATAATTTTATTATGTTTCATTTATTAGGCAGAATAGTTGTGATGGTAATGATCATAATCAGTTCATCGTTATTATAGCCACTATAAATATAAGGAATAAATTTATGAGAAAAGTCAAGAAAGATGGTCTGCATCGTTTACCACTGCATCAACTTACCAGAGTGAACGTAAAGGACTCTCTTCTTCGGGGAGATCATGTTGACTTGGATGCTCAATGGTGTCAACAGTCCTCGTTGAAAATCCACCGAACAGTCACCGTGACGTTTCATACGTTAAATGCAAACTCGAGAACGAAATATGCCCGAGTGTTAATTACAACGTCTTGAACGGGAGGTAACGTCCTAAGCTCATCCAGAAGTCGAGTGCTGCCATCAACTCCACTTCCACCTACTGTGCTTTCCTTATTCGCACTTTTCACCACTTCATTTGTCACTTCACCTACGCGCACAGAAAATCATATGTAGAAGCAGTCACAGTGAAAGAGCACAGACACACGTGGTCTTGATGACTGTATTAAGAACAAAATATACTTTGACGTTTTTTTATCTTTCACATTTTATGTTTCCATTTTCATTTAACTCACATCCACTTATCCTTTTTCTGTTTCCTTTTTTATTTTCAAAGGCACTTCTTGGTTTCCTGATTTTTGGCGAGTCCACGTCCTTGACGTGGTGGTGCGGCACGACCTTCGTACTTCTCGGCTTGCTGCTCATCTGCTACTCTCCTCCGGACGACCACGAAGAGTCCGCCAAGAGCACCAAGCAGAAACACCAATAATTCACCGGTGGCAATTTTTACATACCCGCTGCAAAAGGCCGCAATCTTCTGCCAGGATGAGTCATTCGATGGGCGACGAAGAATCTCCAGGATAGAACAGTCGGTACATCAGCCAGTTTGCCTTGAAGTTTACTGGAAGTTTAATTAAGAAAAGTGTTAGCGTATTGTTATCATATATTTTCACTCCTTTCGACAATTTTATTCAGAGCACTTTTAATTAGTTCATTAAAAAAAATAGGAGCGATATAGAAATCTTATTCATTCTAATCCAAAGTGATGCACTTTATTAGTATTTCAACTGGTATTATGAAGGTGCAATATTTTAGCTTCTTTGTCGGTTAGAGTTAGGACTATAGAATTGTCATTTTTTTTAAATCTTATAAAAAACTAACGGTCCTAGGAAAATTATACAATTGCTTTTCCATTTTACATAAATCTTCGATGTTTACTCCTTTACTTTCTTGGCAGTAAATGCCATCATCGACGGATTTGCATAGCTCATTATGCACATACACCTTCGCGTCAGCACATGCATATGCAAGTGTCTCCTTACTCACGTGCTACAAGGGAGTAACGACATTAGACTCTCTGCATAGGACTGAGACAGGTAGATTCTTACTAGCAGCGATAAATAGTTTGAAAATAATTAAAAAGAATTAATTAAATTCTCATTGCGTCTGTCATACATTAAATAAAATACCAATGAAAGTAATTATATGTACTATTGACAATCTTTGTAAATGAATAATCAGTAATAATAACGCAGGAGCATTATTCGCACTATAATGTCAAGGTTCTCAGCGGCAAAATGGATGACACTATTTTTAGGGATTACACAGATTCGCTGAACACCGGCCACTCCCGTATCGCATTCACAAGGCATTTTTATACGTTCCTCCGGAATGCTCGACCTTGAAACATTGATTATACAATTTTGAGAATGCTAATACAATAATTTATAATTACAAATGAGTATATCTTACTTCAGTTATTTATTGACTATCGTATTTTATGGCTATGCGTAAAATTTTGTAACTCTTTTAGCATTTTTAAATTATAAAAAATAAAAACCTTAAACCGTCCCAATATCATTTACTTTTGTGTCAGCGCCTTCGGGTTTGAATGATAACTGTAAGCCATACCCCTAGGCAGTATCCATTCTCTCACATATCAAGAGTCTCTCCAGGGTGGAAAACACGCCCGGAGCTTCTCAAGTGGCTTGCTTCGGGGTTGACTAAGTAGCAGACAAGTGGTACGGTTCGAGGGACGGTTTAGCTCTGAGGAAAATGCGGAGAGAAAAAGTATTAAAAAAAAAGAAACATGGCAGGGCCTCCAGAGAACAGGGAACTATGAGAAAAAAGAATAAAAAAGAGGGAGCTTCAAGAAAAACTTGGACGACTCGAGAGACGCTTCTTTTAGTGCCGCGAAGTGGGTCTCGCGGTACGTACCTATACGTACCTCTACTGCAGGGAAAACGGTGGTAGGTGGAGGGGATGTAGAAAAAAAGAGTTTAAAAAATGACAAAAAAATGCTCTCCTTACACCGTCCACAGTCTTTGAAATGCATGAGGTCTCGAAGCCAAAGCCTTCAGGAAACCGCAATGAGAGACAGCTCGATCGTTAAATGAGAATTTAAAGCGATACCATCGAAACGTCAACGAGGTTCCATTGTCTGTGAAAAACTCGCCATTGTCCTGGGTTAGAGCTAAAGAAAAAAAAAAGAAAAAATTAATCTGAATGCATCCACGAGCAAGTGGTGTTGATGGTATCCCAGCGGGTATGGCAACAGACCCTTAGCGTTCAATATTGTATAGATTACGAAAGCATTGAAGATTCCAAAAGAAATAGATCAGGAGAATAGCAGAGGATATAAAAATCTCTACTAACCAAGTACCGAATAGAGTATTGGCCGTCCTCGTTATTCTCTTTTCACTTCGACTATACTATTCATGTTATTCTATCCTGTGGACGGAATTTCGGTTGAAAATGGAAATTCAAAACTTTTATTCTTGAAATCCAATTGTTATATGCGCGTTTGATAATTAAGTATGTAATTTAAAAGACTATCTGATTACTATCTGATTTATCATGTGGGTTTTTTTCATTTGCTTTGAATGGTGTTTGGTTCATATGGATCAGTAGAAAATGTGTGTGCCGTGTAAATACTCAATACGTGGTATCCATTCAGGCTTTTATTAGCATTTCAATGCAGATCGCATATCCCGGTTGGCGAGCCGGTGACTCTAGTAGATGGGATTCACGGTTTTGGGAACAGAAGGGGCAGATCACGGGGCCAGGGGGTTTTATCGAGCGGCGTCTGCGCCTTGAGTAACATCCCCGACGTCGACTCCGGCTTTAGCGTCGGCGTCGGGACGTCGGTTGGTGCCCCACTATCGTTCGCTCCTTGCTCTATCGTCTTGCCAAACGGGACAGTTTTCGCACGGCGCGCCCTTCTGATACGCGGCCACCCTCCTGCGGCTGCAGGTCAGGGTTGGTTTTTTTTTTCATTTCCAGAGAATCTCAAAGGGCAGGAAAATTCGTGGACCTTAAAAAAGGAGAAAAAGAAAGATCAAAACGCTATAAACGTGTTTCGAATTATGTCGTACGTTAAAAATAATTATCACCATCGCGTCTAATCAAAATACATGTGTCCTTAAGGAGAATATTTAAAAAAAAAAAAAAAAAAATTTGTCGAAACATTCAAATTCCTTGGGGTAAGACAGAATCTTTTTATAAAATCATCACGGCTGAGCTTGTCAAATTTTTTGCACTCTCATTCCCATAATTGCAATAACACCGAAGAAACAGGAGATGCTGAAAAAGAAATTTTTAAATTTTCATTTTGCATTTTTTTCTGTCAACGAATTTGATAGCCTTTTTTGGATATACACAAGGGATGGGAATACTTTGATTTTGCTGGTAATATGTATATACTTTCTATCGATCAATCGACGTTCAATCTCCCAGGAGGAAGTCTTGGACTTTTATAGGAAGCCGAATACAATGGAATCCCGAATACAAAGGGGGGTTTAAATTTTCTTCGAAAAATACTGTGCGGCTATTGACGTAACACAGAATCTGCATACCTTTTAGTTTTCTCATCGATCCCTTCGACGTTTCATCCAATTAACACTCTGCTTGGAACAATAGAAATTGCTTTGCAAACTTTTCCTTTATTGTGAACACCTCCTATGAGAATTCAGTCCTTGTCAAGTTTTCACGTACCTCGTTGCGTCAACTGTGTAAATAGCTGAAAAAAAAATCAAAATTCAATTAATGATCTAAAGTCCTAATGTTACGTGTGGCCGATCAGATAGTCAAGACTCACCACACCCAACTGTTAATATCATCAGATTAAAGCGGTTTGACTTGTCAAATGAGTTTATGATTTTGCATTTACTTAATCTATAAAATTATTTAAAAAGAAAACAATTATTTCATATACTTCATATATGAATTATTGCTAGTGTAATTGTATATAACTTTTACATCGAGAAAAACGATCAAAAGGTTATGTTGCACTGTTGATTTTAAAAAGAGAAATAACGTGGAAATGTTTCACTTAAAAATACGACTACTCGTCATGCCAAGCTTGTAAATAGCCACGAAGCTCAAGCTTAATTAGCAAAAGGGGATAATGAAGTTACGTGATGTTATTACACATTTAAAGCATATATTCAAAGATTTACGGCTAATTATTCCCCAAAGGGAAGTTTGTGCACGTTTTTCTTTTCTGAAAATATAAACTTTCCATAATCGTATCAAGTCCCTCAGTGATCTGAAGGAACGCTAGAAAAATTCATTTACTATATTCAAATTCTGACTTGCAAATTGACTTACGGTATACAGTTTCTGATGAAATGAAAAAAAAAGATTTTATTTCAATTTCGTAACAAGAGGCAACCACGAAAATGAATCATTCATAATAAAAGAGAAGATACACTTCCATTACATCGATCTTATAAATAGACGTAAGAATCAAAGCTCAATTAACCTTCAGAGTGTATCACGTTACACAATGTCTAATGGACAGTCAAAATCCACCACACCCATTGATAACTTTATTGAAAATTCATAAAATGACGTAAGAAGGCCAATGAGCAACATTAAATTTTTTTCAATTACCTCGTCAATAATTCTCGAGCGTAAAATTAGTTTCCTTGTAGAAAATGGCAAGAATACCAATTTAATTTGGTTCGCGTACCGAATCGAGATTTGGAATTAGATTTGCAATTACATCAATTAAATTTTCTAAATACTTCGACTGCTTTTTTGTAATATTTTTTACCAAAACATGTTTGCCTACTTTGATATACTATATTGGACAACTTATTTCCCTTTTTGTTTATGCATGTATGTACATACATATGAAGATAATGTATAGATATATGCACCTGTATATCCATTCTGGTAGCGAAACGTGTAAACATATATTACGATTACCAAGGAAAGGATTCCTGGCAAGCGGCGACAATTTCTATATATTTCAATAAAACATAAAAGATATATACGAGCCTTTAGAATTTTCGGAGAAATTGGAAAAATTTTACGTGTAAAGAACAGTCACTCACTCACTCATCTCTTCCAGCATTCCGCTAAGCCATTCAGAGAAATTGAAATACTTGAATACATTTCATGCAAACGAATGAGACAACGTATCTCCGAAAATGGCCGAGTAGTTTATCACGAGTAGTGAAAAAAATTTTGTCAAAATGATTGTCCCTTTATCTCCAGGTTGTAAAACTACGAATCATGATGGAGTTCCTAATCTTCCATTTGGAATACATTAACCTCTATAAAACGAGAAGAAGACTAGGCTAGTAGAAGCAATTAAAAGTTTGCGAAACAAAAAGCAAGCGAGTTATGTGCGGGCTCTTGATATTTTATTAATCTGAAGGAAATCGATGAAAGTGATATTATATTCCTATAACGTATATAGAGTGGAAACTCTATCCCTTTATAGGTTATCAACGTTTGATGTGGAGACTTGTGTAGGGAAATGGAGTATGAAGCACTAATGATGAAAGTTTCATTGATACTATATATGTGAAGGCATTAATTTTCATTGAATTAAAAAGTATTATAATAAATGCAATGCAGAGCTATGACTGTGAGAAATCCCCAGTAAAGAAAGAAAGAAATATGAATCATTAGTATTCAGAGAATTTAATGATTTTTCACTAAGGGAAATGACACTTGAACGTTTACAAACTAAATAAAATTATACAGAAAATTCGATCTCACCTGTTCTTAAAATATTTATACGAATAAATCAAGTCTCGTTTGTTCTCCGCTATGAGATTTTTAAATCCAATCGCACAGTTATGTCAAAAATCACAAAACTCAAATCACCTGTATTTCATACAATTTAATCTTTAGCCGCCATATTTTAATCGAAACAATGAAAAGCTCCGTTTCAAAATTCCCAAACGATTCCAACATAGCACTTGGCACCAAGTATAGAATCTTCTCAAGGAAATCCATTATTTCCAGACAATTTATAAAAGCAGGTCGATGTCAGTGCTATACGTAGTCGTTAACATCGACTATATTCCATTTGCCATAAAATAATTTCGAACAAGACTTCAATCCAAAGTTCATCGCTTTCGTAAAGTCGAACATCCTCCCGTGACATTAAGAAAAAAGAAAAACGACTCAGTTCATACGTTCAATCCGGAAAATCGCTTTACGTCATTCCTCGCGACCTCCGCTTCGAATTCTGACTGATTCTGGCGTTTAATCCCGTTTGAAGGAATAAAATCGTCCCGATAAACAACAACAGTGAACACGAATAAACTAGAAGTGCCTACGAAAAGCAGTAAAAACATAAGACATAGACAATGAATGCGAAAGAAATGCAATCTCTACAAGAATTCACAAGAGCAGCCAACCCATGGGAAACAACGAGACTAAGGATTCGAAGCTGGCGACACTAACAGGAATAAATCCAACCTGAGAATGGGAGTCTAATTCAAGTCATCAACCAATTGTCATCCCATTATCGACAGCTAAAGAAAAAGGCTGTCCCGGGCGCCACCATGGGAAATGGTATGAACAAGGTGAGCAATCCTACCTAACTTCACTTTCACATAACCTCATTATCATACAACCATAGGCTTATGACAAACGATGCAGCTACTAGTGCTCTATGTCGTACTTACCTGCATGTCAGATCTTGAAGAGATACATTATTGATCAGTGTCAGCGTTTATCCGTGCATTTTGTATTTGTCATTTACTCCAGCCTTCCGTTGACTATTGGATCAATTCGAAAAATACTTTCCGTAGTAGTGACGTAATTCCATGGCGCCATTCGGTGGACAGTATTTGCTTGGCAATAAGCCAGAAAAACGTAACAGCAGTCTCTCTTTGATTTATGAACATACGACAGTATATTCCGCATAGGTATTCACGTTTTACATACAACATACAACCAGACGTACAAAGCAGGCGGATTCTGGCGTGTCTGAACACTTCGTGACTGAAAATCAATTTGAACCAAAGCCTAAACCTTGATTATAAAATTTACCTTGTTATTCGTCCCATGGCAATATTACACAGCAAAGAAAAAAGTATAAAATTCAAACAAAATCTTGTGCCACCTAATAAACGTATGTCCTGTTGATTTTTGTAAAAGTAAAAAAGATTCTCTTAGGGTTATTGTACTGTGAAAGGGTTGAAAACGTAGAGTTTTCTTTATTTCTACCTCGGCATATTTATTTTATCGATTTAACAATCACTGCGACACGACAGACCGTTGGTTTCCAAGAACTGTCTCGTAACGTAACGTACGAGCATGTCACAGTAGCTGTCACGAGAAAGTTACTTTTGAAACGCTCGCTATTCCCTGAAATACAGCATCGATTAGGTTTGTAAAATACGTTTGAGTTATTTGACTGTTCTTATTATTTTCCTAAATGAAAATCTATATTTGCACAATTTCAGACGTCAGTCACTGCTGTGTGTCAATATTATGTCTGGTCGATTGAACGATTGCAAGAATATTTGAAAAAAGCAAGAGAAATTGAAAATAAAGAATAACGCCTACAGGGCGTCGATCGATGACAACACACGACGCTACAAACAGCTTACGTGCTGATGTATTAATTATTCTAACCCACTTGTCGCTGACTATCGATACTGCGCTTGGAACAGCCACATGCAAGTTCTTGAGGGTACTCGAGTGACCCAGAAATGATGTCTAATATAAATAAATATTTTAAAAAAAGGGCGGGAAAAATAATATGAGTCGCTGCTGTCATGATTGTCGAAGAGCATAAGTCCACAACGCGATTTAATGCAGATTAATGGAATGCAGAAAGGTTGGAAATAACACAGGGTCAGAGGAACAGGGATATGTCAGTTAAATAATTTATATTTCATTCGCAACACTCGCCAGCCAATTTACGCAACTAGAACGATATTTCTTTGTCTTCAACGGAGTCAGTTTCAATAGCTATTTCATCATTGACTTGATTGGAATCACCTAACCTTTCTTCCAATTATACTGCAGTTCGAGCTGCTTCTATTACTCTCGTTAAATAACCGGATGCAAATTAAACAGGTAAGGGTAATCAATTTGAATAAATTGAAAGCACTTGACACGGTATGGACAGATTCAATTGAAAAAACCGCATTGGAATCTCGGTCAATCGTACAGCAAAGCTGAAGCTTTGAAAAGAAAACCTCTTGAGCTGATTTTGTATTTCTAGATTTGAAAAAGGAATATTGATTGAACTTCGCTAAGCATCGTTAAGTCACAATTGTACCAATCGAACCAAGAATGAAGGCATTAAAAAAAATAATTGCTCGTAGCAGTAATATCTGTAAGATCGCATAGAGTATGTTATCGTCGTTAATGGAAAAAGGAGGACTGTAAGGAGAAAGTAGCAATAACAATTTTCTGCAATATCCGTCGAATCAAAAATGTTTTATCTTTACGACAGTATTCAACGTGACTCAGCTGCAGTACTAAAACTGAAATACTTTTTTGTTAGAAAATCTATCTACCACGTACGATCGGAATAAAAATACAAAAACTTACTTTTAGACGACATCTGCCTGACAGGTTATAGGTTAGGTTCCAGGATCCTTTTGCACGAAGAAGCAGCGCATTAAACACGCACCTGACATACATACATATTTTTCTTTATCTTTAGAAATAAGATCTTTAAAGGCTCAAAGAGGCCAGTGAACGCCCCAAGTAACGTTGAACCCCAGATATTACTGTCGCCATTACAAAATTTTCGTTTGCTATCAGATGGGCCACACGTAACAGGGTAAGTATATGAAGACGCCGTCACGCAAGGCGCAACGAAGTGTGCCAATATATAAAAAGAAAAATTGAAATAAGAAGAGAAGCGCGGAGAAAGAGAATCAGGAAGAATGGAAATTACAGAAGAAAATAAATGAGCAAGATCATTAAAAACAAAGGGCGGGTAATTATAGGATGGCAAATTGGCGTCAAATGACTTTTAAATTATCAATAGCAATACGGCAGTTTAATCAGCACGTCGAATCGAATTGCAGACGTAAATTATTACCAGTGGGCGAAGCCTAAGGAGGCCTCAGGACACTGTTAGAAAACCGTACGAATTAACTTTCAATATTTCTCGTTTATTGCATCCAGTCGCTTTGTTATTATTCATACGTGCGTAAGATACCGATTTAACGCACGTGGCTTTATACTTTATTTTTCATCTTTTTTCAGTTTCCACGAAGGACCGAAATTCTTCAATTTTTTGTCATGCGGCTTGACTGCTCCACACTTTAATTTTCTGAAACATCAATAATCTGGATGATTCTTCGTATATCGTTATTTACCAAATGCATTATGTTTAGCTTTAAGTATGTCGTATAACGTACCAAATTTAGAGTAATCTGGATAATTGTTATAGTTCCAACCATTCTGCGACACGCGCTTTGGTTTACGTGTTGTTAGCATAAAATTCGACCAAGTCTCTTGAGTTTGCTGGTCATTTATTCCAGGCTGCTGCGTCACGGGCGTTGTGTGAACTGAAGTTGGCGCAGGACTCTGTTTACGCCACGTAGGAATGGCTTGATTTGAAATTAGCCCAGAGCTCGATTTATGCGTCACAGGAGTTGCTTCTGGTGAAATTGGCACAAGATTTGACTGAATCGTATGATTGTGACCACTATCAACCGCTGTCGTCTTTCCTTTCAATAGCAACATTGCCTTTGGCTTCTTGCGCTTCCTCTTGCATTTCTTCCTTCGTGGTAAATTCTTAATCAAGTTTTCATTTTGATTATTGTTGCGTCTTCCTTCCAATGGCGTAGTCCCTGACATTGATCGCCTTTCCGTAACACTCTCGGAAATAGTAGGCAGCAAGTCCGTAGATTTTTCTGTCGAAGTCGTAACAAAGCTGTCGTTAATCCACAAAGGCTCCGCAACGTCAGTCGTGGAGTTTGTAAAATTTGAATTTAGCGATAAATTTTCCTCCGAGCGTCCGACGTCATTGAAATCCACATTAGGCGACACTGTACTGGTATACTTTATATCAATATCCGTCGAAGCGTCTTCCATAATTTTATTCAAAAGCGTCGTCATACTCGCAGACGTAGTCGATGTCTCGTAAAAGTTTGCCTTGGTCGATTCTAATGGTCGTTGCGTCGTAGTCGTAACAGGCGCGATAGAAATAATCGATTCAGACGATGTTTGAGTACGACCGTTAACCACAAAAGAAGCTTCCTTACTGTTAGACACATTAGAGTCTAATTTTGTCCTAGTTAACATTTCCATTCGTTTTCTTGTTCTTATTTTACTGCACGAGCATTTTCGAACTTTATGATTCAGCTCAGAATTTACAAACGAATTATCCTCTTCCCTGATACTTCGTCTTCCGTTTCTCTTAGGAATTCCGACATTCGCCGCTCCCTGAGGACACAGTTGTTTATTCTTCCTCGTCACCAAGCTGACATTCATAGGAGCCTGAAGTAATCCTTCGGAATTATCCTGGGGCCCCACTTCCTGTAGATAACCCGAAGGTTCACTAGATTCGCCATGGTACAATATATCTTGCTGTACCTGGTTAGAATCCCCCAAAGTATCCGTTCGCGACAGACGCACCAGGTCGCTCAAAAATATTAAGCAAAGTAACGTCCAGCAACGAGATTTCATCTCGCACGATCTGACAGACTTTTCGTGGTGATGTGAAGCACGCTTCCTTTGACGGTGACTCGACGTGGGGATCAACAACGTCACGACGCTGATAACACGATATGCTAGCGAAACGAAATATCCTCGATGAGAAGCTTATCGAAAACCTTAACGACACGCCAATTAAAAAATCAAGCATTAAACAATTTCAGGTCGATCCTCCAACCTTGTAACATGATTATGAAACCTCGTCGAGTTCACCTTCATATCAGCCATAGAGTGTTTAATGTCATCAAGGACGTCAGCACATTCGTGGTTAATCATTAAATCTGAAGGGGCTCGATACACGAAGATTCTAGACCCCCCAAGTAACATCCGGACAAATAATGATCGATGGAGGAAGCTTGATGATTAAAGATACACCAAGTGGTCCATCATCTTCTGATAAGGATGAAGAATAGGGGGTATCTCTGTAGTTGACTATATCTATAGTGAATGATCTAACCACGGGAAAGACCGGATATTGCCAAGAGAAGCGTAAGCATCGTTAAGAAAATGGCTCGTTAAAAGCTCTTAAAATTTTCCTTCATTTCCGGTTGGGTTACTCTCTTGAGTGATCCAAGAACAATAATGGCGGTCATGCCATTAAATTGGAACGAAGCGTGCGAGGGACTTCGGACACGCATAAAATGGATTTTCTTTCTGCTGGATAATTGATTATGGTCGCCTAACGTTGATAACTGACTCAGTCCGTTATTATACGACGATTCGCATTTCATGCTATCGAAAGTACACGCTAATTGTCGTTTGCCCATCAAGCGTGCATTCAATCTATACTGACCTGGGTAATATAGACATTATGCTTTATGAGTTAGCTGCTCTTAACACTAAACGTACCATCGACCAGTCATTTGACCGTTTTAAAGCCACAAAAACTTTTATAAAAAATTGTCAGTATGTTTAGTGTTAAACTTCTCCTTTCTAAACGATCTATTTAGCTAGAGCACATGAAAGAAATAGACAACCATTAGGATTTTGTATTTATGACAGTCATAAAAGTTCTTAATATACGTATAGATATAGGCGAGTGTGTACTTGGAATATGGTAAATCCAAAAATTTATATTCCAAAAACGAAATTTGAAATTATTGGCATACGCTGTGCTACGTATTTCTGTTATTTTTTAACGCGAATATATGCTTATTGGAAAAAAGATTTCGTTACAATAATGACGTCATGTGTAGACCTTAGCTTTTGACGTATATCGCATGCAATAACAATGGGACATGCTTTAAAATATGAATATGTAATTTTTTGGATATTAAAATTCATGAAAAATTTTATTATATTAAGATATACTACTAAAGTCAAATTAAGATTAGAACTTTATAGAGTTACAGAAAGAAGCATTAAAAATTGCAAATAACAATAGTCGTAATATAAAATTAATGTTTACGTTAGATCCGTAGAATATCGATTTCTTTTTACTTCTTGTTTTTTCAAACAATCTTGTACACTTATTAATATTGCTCAATATTTGCATTCGAGTAGTACGTGTTACATAGCGTCACGAACCTTAAGGTCTATTATTGTTTATCGAGGCGTGAGATGATTGTTCTAATTCGATTCACTTCTTTCTTCAGTTTATACTATTAGCATTGTTGCCGTATGTCATTATGTAATGTAGTATTATTACCATTAATTACAATTTTTCTTATATTTAACGGTAACCAAAGATTTCAATTAATCGTTCCAATACGCAATTTTACATGCTTTATCCGTAAAATTGTATATAAAAATTTATTATTATCGTATCCTGATTATATTTACAAACTGGTTTTTATTCAATTTCATGCTCTTGTCTTCAAATATGCCAGACATCGCGATTTCTCGGGTAGGAGGCGATTTCGAAATTGCAAAGAACGATTTAACCCGCGCAAGGAGACATAAAATCCAGTAGAACTATCGGCCATTTACCCGCGCCGTTTCATCTCGATACATGGATACGACAGTCGCAAGTAATATAAAGACTTTATGGTCAGAGACGTAAATAACGGTTTATGAGAATTCGTCAAATGCTCCATTAAACATATAGTCTCGTCTCAGTATGACATCCGCCGAGTAATGAAATAAAAAGTAAAAAAAAGTAAAAGGCTACCACTGAAATAAAAAAAATCCTGATTACTTTTACTCCTGATTATTATTTTTGTAATATCTGCTTCTGTTGTTTCCAAAAGTAAAAAAAAAATTCTTTGTAAATTCGTCAGAACTAATCACTATCAGATTTAGGACCGTATATCGAATTGAATAAATTTTTGGAACCTCTTGAAATCGTGGTAATATTTGAATGTATGATTTTCAGGTTTTACCAGGTCTCTACGTGGGTAACTATCGTGACAGTAAAGACGCAGCACAGTTGGAACGTTACGAGATCACGCATATCCTGGCCATTCACGATGCAGCTCGTCGCCTGCATTCTGTAAGTAATAAAGGAATAGCGTGCACAGAGTGCACTAGAGTGCAGTAAAGCCATGCTGCATAAGTCTGTATTTTATATATTATATTTATGAGATATGAATAAGGAATATTGTATGGGTCCACATGAAGAGTTCAAGCATCCAAAGATTTATATAGATTTAATATTTATTATACTTAATGCTTTAAGGATTGGAGGAATTTGGTGAATTAAGTTTGCCGTTTCAGGACAAGCACTACCTTTGTATCCTGGCTGCTGACACACCTGATCAGAATCTCTCTCAGTACTTTTCCCTCTGCAACGACTTCATACACGCAGCTCGACTTCGTGGTGGAAACGTTTTAATTCACTGGTAACATAAAAATAAATTTTACCTTTAACCATTAAAATAATTATAGTGGTTTTCCATAGGGTACGCATAGCATTGATGGAAGATTGCATGTTGAGATGGCATTACTGTTTATGATAGTTGAAAAATGTAACTAGTGTTTAATTCATAGAGTAAAAAGATTGTACTGGAATGTAATTTAGTGATATTGGAAAATATTGACATTTTCTGATTTACATTGACTCACGGTTTTCTGGAAAAAAGAAAGTATTTTAGAGACAGTCATAAAAAATAGCCTGCGAACAAGTTCTAGGGAAATGTATAAAGGTGAAAATGGTCCTACGAAGGGGATCAGTGGGCCACTGAACTATATGTATATCTAGAGATGAATTACTGAAAGAAAGAAGAATCTGGAGCACCTTTTAGTATTCTGAATTTCACAAAGAGATCCTTATCATTCAGTTTAGCAGGAATGTCGCGTAGCGTAACAGTGGCTGTGGCCTACATAATGAGTATCACGAATCTGTCTTGGAAAGAGGCGCTAAAAGTGGTGAGAGTGGGTCGTGCTGTGGCGAATCCCAATGTTGGATTTCAGCAGCAACTTCAGGACTTTGAGTCAACTCGTTTGCAGGAGGTGAGTCTTCCAAGATGGGAAACAAACGATCAAGTCTGTGAAATTCTTGAAAGAACTTTTGAAATTGCTTCCAATTTGTATTCCGTAGGAAAGACGTCGTCTCAAGGAACGCTTTCCAAGTTTGGCTTTGGCAGCAGCCGATGCAGAGGCTTGTAGAGCTACCTTAAGGAATTATGAGACCCTGGCGTTGGCACGTGAAGTCTGTGAAGGAAAATGCGCCATGGGTCGACAATGCCCTACTGGATTATGTCGGCAGCCATCCAAAAGGTGAAGAATCTACAATGTTAACATTAAACGTACCATCGACCGGTCATTTGACCGTTTTAAAGCAAAAAATACATATACATATAAAAAATTGTCGGTATGTTTAGTGTTAAGTCATACAGTACAAAATATTTTGATATGTTTTAGAAACATTGCTAGAACGTAAAAATCAAATTGATATGTTCAAGCAATGCTTCTAAAACGTATCTGAATGTTTTAATGTGTGTTAACATAGATGTATTATTTACATATTCATTTCATGAAACCTCTGGTAGCCATCCTGAAACTCCGTCTTCTTCTTCTTCTTCTTCAGGACCCTGAGAAGAAAGTCTTCTTCTAGTAGTTCCGGGAGTTTGAGCATTGGTAGGACACCTCCACAATCACCCAGGCTATTACCATCTGCACCACCTTCACCAGCTCTACCGAGATCAGCAAGTACCATCTCATCTTCACGGCCACGAAGTGGTCCAGCTGGTTTACACTCATATACTGGCTCCGCACCACCATCTAGGTAAGAAGGAAATTATTACATTACATTATTAATGTAATAGCAGCCCGAAAAATTTTCTTTTTCTTTTACCTATTTTTTATGTTACATACAGAGCAGTGTCAAGGGTCGATCTGTCCTCTGCGGTGGCTTGTAGCAGCAGCAGCACTAATTTAGCAGCTGTCGGTAGAAGTATACCGGTAACCGGAAGTAATTGGAGACTAAGGGCAGGTTCAGCACCAGCTACTCCAAGAGCAACACCTCCAGTATCTCCACAACATTGGCCAAGAAGAGCCTCTAACAGACAAATTGCCCAGCTGCCAATGCCACCCGAATCACCATCATCGTTGACGTAGCAAAAGGACACGGTTGATCCTATTCCACGATTGACGGAATCACTCTAGGTTACGGAAGAGGCTCCTACAGGAATCTCGGATGAACTTGCTCTACGTACAGTATTAGAGTTAGAATTCTACAGTCGTGGAAAGTCTCTGCATCTCAGTCTGTCTTCTGCTGTAAGAATTATTAGTATGAACAAGTGTTCCATAACATTTGACATTCGTAATATTGGCTGAACAAGAAGATGGCGTCCTGCTTAAGAGAAGCTTGGGAGCTCACGACAATCCTCATGGAGTTTTCAAGGATAGTACACTGGTGGAAAATGTGTCGTCGCCAGGCGATTGAATTTCCTGTTTAGCCGAGTATGATTCAATTACAAATTATAACGAAGTTTGAAAGAATTAAGCTGCCAGTGCGTGTGGCAATTATTGGAAAATGGACAAATTCACTTACAATCAGCCAAACCGATTCAGGCTCAAATCTTTCAATTCGATGACAAAGGTCTCCCTGGATTCCGGTTTTTGGCTTTGATTAGAAAACGACGTGATTTACATTCTCAAAATAAAGTGTTCCTTGAGTGGAAGCTCTCGCGAACACAGTACTCAAAGTATGATTAAGTCATACATGAGGATAAAGATTATCGTATCAAGAATACGTAGTGCTAATTTGATTAATTTCCGGTAACCGTCCAGAATGTCGTTAAGCTTTCAATTTGAAGCCGCGTGTATTTCTCCAATCTGTCATTGTTATTCGGTTAGAAAGGGACATTGTTGCGAGAGATTTAAAAGGATTTTATAAAATTGTTGACAAGAAACTCTATATATAATATATCCACGTTGCATAAGGAAATAAGGAAAGTTATTGTTGTCTGATGCACCAGAAGGAAACAGAAAAGTAACATAATAATAAGAAATTGTCTATGAATAAGTATTAGAGTCTTGAATTGATCTTGCTCGTCAAGACTTTAAAAAATCGATTTAACACGATACGTTACCAAGTACCAAAATGGCTGCAGGACTAAATACCTAAAATACGAATATATTCATGACTCTAACACTCAAATCAGACACCTGCACCCATCATTGATCAGTTTACAGTCTTTCTATCCTATGAAAAAATCATGGAAAGTTTCTTCAATAACACGTTATGCAGGTCATGACGTATATGCATACGACAAGCATGTTTACGGTGCGATCATTCGACAGTATCAAAAAAAATCTATTAACCGTTTCACGAAGAAAAAAAAATACGATAAAGAGTGACAAAAGAAATACTGTCGAAAGATCTTTTCTATTATACACATAGAAATAAGACATTATTACTAACAATATAAACTATTATAACGACGCTCTACTTTTATACAATGTTAATGCAAAATGCTGTAGGTATATAATGCCAAGGCTATTTGTACGAGGACTAAAAATTTAGATAGTCCCGGTGTCGTTGCTCCAATTATTGATCATATAAATATATGCATATACGCGTACAAAGAAAAATATTCAACTGACTCCGGTACTGTCTAGAAAATCGTACCTTATCGATAAGCTAAAGTGGTAGAGTAAATAACGTAGTGGGATGAACTATAAGGTATTTAGATTTTATATGCCTATAGAAGGAAAACGAAAAACAGAAAAAATAACATTTCTCCTTTCTATTCTTCCTATCGCAAGGGCAATCTTATTATCATCATGGCATATTGCTAACGCATATTTTTAAGGTAGAGAAATTCGCAAGACGTGTCATTACGTTGAAGGAGGAGTTCCTCCTTTGATTACGTATGTATTGTATGAATAACGTGAAGCACGAGCTTCTGTTTGTGTATTCACGTTCTACAGCGCAATGCAACTGTATCATGCAAATAATTCAAGAATGAATAACAAAATGTCTCAAGTGGCAACTTGCAAGGCTATAAGCAATAACATATATTTAAGCTATTTGCATTAATCATTAACTGGTAGATTGATTTTCGAGAAGGACGTGTAAAATCGTCTGTTTTATATTGTATTAATTATTGTTATTGCATTGGGTGAATTTATTAAGGTATGAAAGTACGTTTGGCATTTAAGTTTAATTTTTTATTAGTCATTTTTTCAAGTCGAATATTACAAAAGAGGACATAATTAACATTGTGGCTGTGCATTGTGATTTTATGCTATAATGGGTCGCGGTCGTCTTTGACTATTTGATTAATGGTCGTAGTCCTCTTGCGAGTAATTAAAACTTTCTTTAATGCGAAATTGTAAGAATTCTCGTTGAGGCGTTAGTATGCTTTCTTTTTATTGTCTTTTGATTTTTTTATATTCATCTTGTACGAAGACCAGCCGCGATCCGTCAAGGTTTAAAGATGGATATCATTCCTTGTTATCATAATCTGTATAAAGTAATCATAGGTGAACACAGATGCACCAATTAGGTACGTGTGCAGTATTTTTGATACATCTGAATTGATCTGTGATGCGTACTAAATGCAATGCGAATCATATCATTTATGCTTTGTGTAAATTTTCTGTACGAAATGGCTAGCGGTGGTTAAGTCCGCTTTGCCAAAAATTGCACTGCAGAGAAGAGATACAGTCGGTGATTGTCGACAGTGAAAATTTTTAAGTCATAAGGGTCAAAGAGTTGGGAATAAATTAGTAAACGATACTTCGAATAACTTTGCTCTAGATTAGTATTATACTATATTCAGTTTTCTATATCTTGCTTGACGTAGAAAACTGAAAGTGAACGTGGCCGTTTAGTTGATTGAAGGACTTGGGATAAGGATGAATTAAATAAAAGAAATAATATATGATTAGGATACTAATTATTATTTGGATTTGTAAAAGGGAAGAGAAGCAAAACGGTCAGCTGCGAGGACGAAAATATTTTTCTTCAACAGCGGAGCGAAAACGCTCGTTTTCGCTCTGCTCGGGAGAAGCGAAAACGGGCAATTCTCGAATGGGGAAACGTGAAAGATTGAAAAATTGAATAGGAGTGAAGTGACATTTGCCGACCAATCCAACGGCCAGCTACCACCGGGGCAATTGTTTTTTTCACGTCAGCTGTAGGATGCACAGATGTTTCATTGTGATTTCCTAAGTTACCAAACTAACCTGGTTATTTGCACCGACCAAAGAATCACCCGCTACGTGAAAACTCGCGTTCGCTCCGCTTTTGAAGAAAATAGTATGTAAACCGGGAGAGAAAACGGGCGTTTGTGCCTTGTATAAAGTCGAGAACCATTCGACTTCGCCTCGGGAACCTCAACTTTATACGCGGCGCAGAAACGCCCGTTTTCGCTCTCAGTGTACAATATACTATTGAACGAAAATGTTGCGAGCAACGTTTAATTGGAAATACATATATTGCTTTAAGGTGAATAGATGATAGTGGGAAATGAAGAATAAGGTCGAAAGCCGTTCGCAACATTTTCTTCGAAAATATTAATATTGAAGATTGCGAAATATCCCTCCTACACTTCCGATTAGGCACTATGACGTAGATTTTCGAAAATTCTGTACCTGATTGTTGTCTAATATTCTATCATGCGTAATCTAATCTTGAGTTGATGATATGTTTGGACCATACTTTCTTACCACGAATAATGCTGTTCTAATTGGAGATAATTAATGAGAAAAAACTTTGTCTTACGTTATTGGATTAATTAAATGGTCTGCCCATGACTATGTCGCACCAAACATAATAAAAATGTTAATAAATATTTGTTCTATTAATGTAGTTAATGCTTCTTTTCCATCTGTCATTAATTCAACCTACTTTATGTCATCAATTCTTTAACGCAATATGTCAGTTGCTCTTTGTAGTAAATGTTGGAGGGAGGAAGATGTGATAATAAAAAATGGCAAGAGGTGAAATTATGAGTAGAAACAAGAAATATCTTTCTATTTATAGTCTATGGCGTATGTACACTTGCTTTTCAATAAAATTCACGTACGGTGTGGATTAGATGTGTTTGTTTACAGGACAAATAAAGTGATAAATGTTTTTGGGAATGTCTGTAGCTTTAATTATCAATACTTCTTCCGAGCCTCTTCTATGATATCATTTAATTCAAGATTTTGCCAATCTAGGGCAACGTTGTCAAGGTGATTATCAAAATCAACAACGTTACGGTATGCTTCTGTTTTCATTAACAAATACATTGTCTCTGTGAGGCTGTCGTCATCTTCGAAAATTATACTGAAAATAATTAAGGATGTTATAAATTTACCAATTATGCAAATGCTAATTTGTTAATCAATCACATACTTTGACTTGTCTTTCGTTTTCCACTTTCCATCTGAATTTTGTGAGATTCTTAGTGGATTCGATCCCATTCCCAGAGTTATTTCCTTATTATCTATCTATGAAGATAAATTCATCCATTGTCAAATTTATATGATTAACTAGTTAATGCAATAGCTTCTTCTTTGTTAACTTACCACTGCAATCAACGCACCAGGAAAGTTCTCTGCTATTTTGTCAGCTATCCTGTGAGCTGGTTTGTCTGTGCTAAATTTAAAACCAATACAAATGATGTCTACATAAACTTGATACTAGCTAATTAAAATGAAACTATTAAAAATCTAATTACCTCATGTCATTAATATTTTCATTGGCCAGATAATAACCTGCTATTACTAAGCCTTTTCGAGTCGCTAGCTGATCAACCTGCAATGAGTAATTAATTGATAGAAATGTTTTCAAATTGCACTACTAAACTATCATACTCCGATCAAGAATAGGTGAAGCATTATTCCATACATATAATAAATTTCAAATGAGCACATTAGGATTCTAAATTAAGTTAGTTTATCACATTATTACTGGTACATTGTCAATAAACTATTAAATAATTACCAAGGTAAGGGCAACTTCCGCCATAGGTGAAACGTGTAAGCACAAGTGAAACAGTGGAATGGCATCCTCGATCTGTAGTTCTGATGATTTTCCATCTCCCTTCCCTTTCTGTCGGGCCAGTAAGAGACCATTTATTGCACAGTGCGGATACTTTGCCGCGTGCAAAACAATCTTACAGTAAGCACGAGCCGAAAAGTGGACGACTGCCATTTTTACATACAGTCAGTCAATATACTACTACAATTCACACGTCACTCACTGACTGGCAATATGCACTATCCCACGTGATTAAATCCAACCAATTAGAATGACCTCTGGGCGGGGCTTCAATATTGCTATGGTAACGCGACAGCTGATCAGTGTAAATAAACGTAGAAACTTCAATTGACAGATTGTTTTCAATTAATTATCTTGACACATACATGTAGAGTGTAGACGTATAGATTATAGTAGGATTTAAATTACTATTAACTTGTGATGTTTGGATATTTACTGATAAAAATATGAAACTTAGAGAAAAATGTTTATTATATGTATAAGAATGTAGTATCATTGTAGAATTTTTAAAATTATTATTCATTTTATCATCTGTACTTCAATCATCGTAAATTGAAAGTAAGTTTTGATAACGTAATGCATACTCGAGATTCTATATTATTTGCCGACATGGTGTTTGCTAATCAAAACAAATTGTATGTAATAGATGGCTGACTTGTCGGATAAATCAGATGTTGATCCTGAAGAATTGGCCAAGATGGTTGAAGATATGGATGATTTGGATAACGATTTGTTTGGTTCTACATTGAGCAAACCAAAGTCAGGTACCTCCATTCAATCTAAAGAGCCTGACAATCAGATCTTATCTGGTGCTAAGAAGAGGGTAGTATTCCGTGGTTAGTTTCAATGAAAAATATGTATGAATGTTTAATGTAGAATATTAAATAAGTAAATTTGTATACAGATTTCAATGAAGATGATCCACTAGCAGATTTGCTATCCGACGAGGAGACTTTTCAACAAAAATCAAAGCAAGCAGTATCAAAACCAAAGGGTAGTAAGATGGCCGATTTATTTGGACTTAAAAATACAAATCCTACAGAACATGTGAAATCTCCCATAAAACAATCAACGATAAGTAGTTTTTCAAAATCTGAAGAAACAAAACCAAAAACTTTTACTCGAGATCCTGACTGGCTGGGTATAATGGATGAAACACCTTCTTACCACCAGGAATCAAACATACAGAAAGTTGTTCAAAACCCAAAAACTGTGTTTGATTCTAAAAACGACGTGGTCGCAGAATTACCAGATAGACCAACTTCTACGAGTGAAAAAATAAAAAAATCTTCATTGATGGAAGATTTATTCGGAAACAAACCACGTACTACACCATCGAAAGAATTAAATCCTCGCAAGGATCCCATAAGACCAGGAATAGAAACACCAGTAACTCAACCAAGGCAGGAAGCAGCTAAAATCGAATCAAAATCCTTGGGAATTGGATATGCTCCAACCGTATCAGCACCACGAGAACCTCGCCGAGGTAGAAGAGGTTCCGGGGTGATAAACGATCCTCTAGGTATACTTTCTTTGTCGTCCACGCATGTTGAACAGCCTCCTCCTAACGCTACTGAAGTAAGTAAAAGTAAAACTCATCACTTAATCGAATTGCATTAATTAATTTATCAATTTATGGCAGGATGACACGCCCAAGAATAATCAACTGTCGCTTTTAAAAGAAAAGGAGAATATTCTGACGCTTTCTGAAAAAGGAACAAAAGCAGTGAGCAAGGATAGTCTTCCAGAATGGTTGGGAGGACCAAAGAAATCGAAGGAAGAAAAATTAGAAGGTGAAAAACAAACTTTTTTGTCTAATGCAAATCAAAAAGATGATTTGCCAAAGGTTTCTCAACCAGTAGAAAACAGTACACTGTCACAAGACATTCAAAGTGTTCAAGAGCCTGTATTGATTCAGCAATCCAGTTTGGATTACGATAAAATTAATTATCCTGAACATATGTCTCTATTAATGGGAACGCAGTTCGATCAACAGGCGGCGATTATGTCCATGCAACAACAAGAACATGAACTGAGAATAGCCACCACATTGTCTCGGCAGAATGAACAATTAAGTCAACTTTTGGAGAGTCAAAAAAATAGACTGAATGAACAAGAAAGACAGTTTAATATGCTTATCAAGAAACAAATAGATAGGCAGATTTTATTAGAAACGCAAATGAAGATACAGCAAGAACGTATTAATAACCATATTCAGGTAACCATTATCTTTTAATGTTAGCTAGCAATTTTAAGAAGTTATATCTCTAACTATTATCATTTTAATGAGTAGACTCTGATGGCTCAGCCAAATTCTGTGCCAATGACTTTTGTCGTTAACAAAAATCTAAATAATGGCATGAACGAGGAACCAAAGAACAAGGAAGAAGAATCCGAAAGTCTGGTACATAAATTACAAATGGAAAAGTTATATTTAGAGAACACGCTGGAAACTTTGAAAGAGACACATGACAGAGAGATTACGATTATTGAAGAATCCTACAAGTAAATAATATCTCTTTATATCAGCAAAGAATAATAATCGAATTTTTTAAAATATTAATAATTATGTTATTTTAGAAAACAAATAACTATCATGCAGGAAGCAGTGGAAAAACTTGAAATCAGAATGCGACACGACTCCGAAGTAATGGAAGCTGATTACGAGGCTAAAATTGAAAAATTAAAGGAAGAAAAAAGAAATTTGGAATCTGTTTATACGGAGGAGATAGAAAAACTAAAGGTACATATAGAGGGATGTATAATTTTATCTAGGGTGTATAAGTTGGTATTCAAAAAATAAGATTTGACTGGATATACTTCACCCATAAATATGTTCTTGAAAAATTAAACTTTAATTCATTGTTCATCAGAAAGAACACGAGGGATCTCTTAGAGATATTCACGAACGTCATCGTCGTAGCGTTATACTCCTGGAAAAGGAACATGCTGAGACCATAGAAAGTATTAATAAAGCAAAAGAATTGGAACGCCAAGCTATAGGAACTACAAAAAGTTACAGTACAGATTTGACGGCTGTATTAGACAAAGCACAATCTGCCATAGAAGGCATTCAATCGCTACATGATAAAATTCAAGACAAAAATATAGAAACAGAAGAAACGAGAAAAAACTATTTGAATAAACAAGTGGAACACTTAGAACGTATGTTTATTCTTATTTTGAATTTAATTTGCTTAAAATACAACAAATTACAATAAATCAATTTTTTAGTGCTAAAAAAGCAAGTGGAAAAACATGAAAACACACTAAATGCAGAACGCAGTCAGTTAATGGAGGCTGCACAGAAAATGGAGATTGGAGCTATTCGAATGATTTCTGAATTTCAAAAAAGAAGCATAGAAAATAATGAAGCTGAAGAAAGACTCAAGTCTAGAGAACAATCTCTTGTGCGGGACAGAGAATTGTTCAATGAGCAAGTTCAATGGGAGCGGAGCTATTTACAAGTATTAATTAAGTGATCCTATATAAAATATTCTGTTTCTGAAATATAATATATGTTATATAATTTATTTAATCAGGTAATAAAAGAGACATGGCTGAAAGAGCAAGAAAGACAAAATAAATTGATTGCACAAGAGCGAGAAGCTATTGCATCTGAAAAAGCAAAATTGGAAGTAACCAGCAGATTGAAAATTGGATCTGATGATACAGCAAAAGCCGAGGTTTGTCAATTAATGTTTTTATCGGAATAGCTAACAAATTTCTGTTAATTATCGTCAGATTGAAGCTGCTTTGAAAGCCGCGCAGGATGCAGCAGCTAATGCTAATCAGGAAAGACAAAAATGGCGGGAAAGAGTCAGTGAACTTGAATCGCAACGTCAAATATTACGTGAAAAAGAAAGTCAGCTGGTATTACGTGCTAAGGAACTGGAAGATCTTACACAGGTATTTTTTTATTTACATAAAAAATTAGACAATGACACCTATTACGGATATTTAATTACTATAATTTTGGTCTTTGCAGTCTGCATTAGAAAAAAGGGAAGAGGGTCTTAGAGCATTAAGAGAAGCTCGTCGTATTGAAAATCAGAACAAAGAAAAGGCTGCCCAGTGGCAATTACAAATTGAAGCTTTGGCACAGAGAGAGAATAAGCTTGCAACCGACAAGCTTGCATTGGCAAGGTAAATTTATAAATATGCAGTTTAGTACAAATTTTATAAATGAAAAATCTATTTTTGTAAAAGGGAGCGACTGGCCATACGAGTGAACCAAGCAGAAAGACCAGAAAAAGATGTTGAACGAAGTGGTACATCTTATAAGCATGTGGATGAATCTTATTTATCTGCATTGTCACATAATACGCAAGTCTCAACACACTTTAAAGTAAGTATAAGTAATTTTTACTTACCTATAAATGTTACGTTATTTAGCTGTATTCACTTCACACAGGATATTTTATTTTCAGGATGTTGTCGATCCTCACTTGATACTGCTCAAGTTAAATCTGGACAATAAATTAGAAACAGGCAATGAATACCTTTCTGTGATGAACAGTGTGAATCGATGAAATGAAAGAACTAGTATAGGAAATAAACATTCTTTAATTAGTTTTTTATGTATAAATATACAAAATACTGGAATAGAATAAAAATAATTTCTTACGTAATTTTAATAAATTGAACCATTTAATTCTAGATTTGATCCATCCAAGTTTAAGATGGATTCATCCAAATCATCTAAAACAACAAATAGTGCATATGATTATTTAATTTTCAGTCATTTTTGTAATTAAAGTGGTGCATGTAATAACTTTATATCATACCGTTACAAGTAACGTAACAATCTTTAAGAACATCAATATTGTTCTTGACTGTTTCAACTTGATCAATTTGAGTCTTTGCCTTGTTTAGATTCACGCTTATTGCCTCGCCACAGAGTTTCTGTTGATATCAAATTAGAAATAAGAGCAATTTTCTAAAATATGTGATAAAATGTAACCAGCTACTATACTTACTACATTCTCACATAGTTTGGTAACAAAGTTATCATCTATAACTGTATGCGGCTTACACATCTCAGGCATATCATTGATAAACTGAATTGCATCTGCGACAAGATTGACAGTCTGTCTGCAAATCACATTTTGCATTATATGAAGAAAAGTTTCATTGGTTCAAAAAACATAATGTTACATACTGTTGATACTTGTGTGAAATGGGCAGACCGTCAACACCTTCTGAATTCTGTAAAATCCTATGTATAGCATGTTTCTGTCCCATCAAATCATTCAGATTCTTGGCAATACTTTCTATAAGTTGAGTTCTCTTTTCTAAAATACAAAAACTATTAAAAACTCCTTCACCTAATTATAAAATTGAAATAAGACTTCAACTTGCCTTTCAAAGCTTGAGATGTTTTCAGCATATTCTTGTACTCCTGACTCTGCCGAATCTCAGCATTTTGACCAATTTTCTTAGAAAGATTACGAGCTTCGCGCAACAGCGCTATCACCTCTAATTCCTTTTCCATTAATAAAGCAAAGTATTACACTAAATTGAATACAATAAAATGCACTGTTTAACATAAATACGTTCTACTATGTATAACCTGCTCCAAAAACCATTTATTTTGTAATACGCAGTAATAACTATTTATAGCATAGTTTTCTATATGCAATATATTCTTTGATGAATCTTCATATTGGAAAAAAAACTATATCTATTTTAATTCAGCATAACGTAAGACATTTACACGTTTTTAAACAAGTATCTGACAGATTTCAAATTACACTTTATGGTAGCGTTTGTAACCGTACGACGATTAATGATGGCGTCCGTTGGAAACTTTTGCCGCCTTTATGTGAAATGGCAACAAGGTTCAGAGTACTACGTTCAGAAACTGGAATAGAAAGTATTCTGGTATCGTTCTATCTTCCTCGTAATAACGCTAGTAGAAAAAGATGCAGCATGAAAAATTATCTGGACTAAGGTTTCCGAACGCATCGCTGTAGGTTGTAGCATGATTTTCGCTATGAACTATAATGTAAAAGTTGAAAGAGATGTTTGATATTTTTAGTTTTTTGTGAAAACATGTCTCATTTCTTATTTTGCTAAACAATCATTTTTGTTGTATCTGACGTTCTCGTTCTCATTCAAAATAACATGCAATAATAATTTATTATGTCAAACAATACGCAATCATGTATCACCCATGTAATCTTAACTTGCTTGTAGTGTATTCAACCTCAATATATTATTTATTATGAATTTATGGTAGTGAAATTATATCTCCTAAAAGAGTCGTATTAATTGCGCTTATACAACATGAATGTCACCAGTAAGTATTGTAATTTTTATCTTTATACAAATTGGTATGTTCTTTACCCAGTCATATTTTGTAGAATTACTGAAAAGGAAACGTTGGGCACAACGCGTTGGGAATGTTAAAGTACTGGCAGAAGTTGTTAAGGAATTGGGTGATATATACTTTGAGACAGAAAGACTGGAGGAGGCATTGCAGGAATATATGGAACAGCTGGAGCTTTGTGAAACTTTGAATGATAAGTTGAACTGTGCCGTTGCTCATAGAATGATAGGTGAAGTCTATGTGAAACTTGGAGATTATGAGCAAGCGTTGGTTCATCAAAATCTTTACCTAGGTAATATTCGTTGAAATTTCTAATTATTGTACTTCTTTACCAAATAAGAATAATGATAACTCTTTTATTGGACAGAACAGATGGAGCTCAAGAAACAGAAAATCTATTGGAACAACAACGTGCCTATGCCACATTGGGTAGAATATACTTTTGTTTGGCAGAGAGTTTGCCAGAAGGAAACGACAACAAACAAGAAGCATTATTAAGTTCAAAAAAAGCATACACAAAAAGCATTCGAATATGTCAAAAGTAAGCATCACTTCCATTTACTGTTCTATTTACAATTTTAATCAGATCTTAATACCATTACTCTATTCATAGATTAGAGGATACCGATATAAAAATGGAAGAAATTATGTTAATGAGAGCACGACTCCTTTTAAATCTTGGTCTCATACTAGAAGGCCAAGGAGAGCAGAATAAGGGTATCAAGTTAATTGAAAATGCAGCAGAGCTATGTACAATTCACAAATTTCATGAAGACCTGCATAGAACTCACATTGCCTTAGGGGCCCTTTACGAACGACAGGGAAATATAGAACTGGCTATAGAATATATAGATAAGGCAATCAACACGATCGATCCAATAATGAAAGCTGAAGCGAGCTTAACGAAAGCTGAGATTTTATTAAGAATAGGAAAATGGCAAGAAGCCAGAAAAATTCTAGTGAGCCTTTACACGTCCAATATACAAGCCGAAACAATCCGACAACAAATTGACAAACTGTTACGAATCGGTATCTCATCAAATTTTTTAAATATTCAACTATTTTAACTATATCCCAAGAGGAGTATTTATTCATAGTCTGTCTTTTATCCTTGTTCTTAGCTGTGACTTTGTGCAGGACTGAGGAAAGTCTCGACGTAGAGGTTGACGTGAAGACTAGACAAAAGCACTACGAAGTCTTGGGCGATGCTGCGGTAGCTGCAAAGGCCTATGAAAAAGCTATTGACTACTATCGCGAGATGCTCGCCTGTGCAGAACGTACTGGAGAGGACGTTAGTGCTGCACTGGTGAGTTTGTCGAGAACATTGCGCGATGCTGGTCGTTGTGCCGAAGCTGTAATATTTGCACGTCGTGAACTAGAGCTCTGTTCCACATCTCGTGAGATGTGCCAATCAGCCCTTTACCTGGCCGAGATTCTTACAGCTGCGAATTTTCCTGATTCCGAAATCAGAGAAGCGTATGAATTAGCCAGGTCTGAAGCAAAAAAATGTGATAGTCCACAACAAGAAGCAACCGTCCTCAAGGAAATCCTGGAGTACTTGGTGAAAACGGAGAAACTCGATGAGGCAGAAGACTTGAAACTAAAATTGAATCTACTAGATGTGAAATGCGAATCCGATAGCGAAGATGAACCAGAGACTCCAGATATTGGCCTTGATATCTGTTTGGAAGACCTCTCCGATGTGGAGGATCAGCTGCCTAAGAATACTAACTCCAGGAACAATCGACGTCTGCAAAGAGGAATTGTTGTCAAGAGAAATGAAAAAGGAGAAACGCAGCTTCACGTAGCTTGTATAAACGGCAATGTCACTAACGTTGAGAAACTCCTAGAAGGAGGTCATCCTACTAATGTCAAGGATAACTGCGGATGGACCCCATTACACGAAGCAGCTAATCACGGCCATATAGAGATCGCTGAATTGCTTCTCAAAGCTGGTGCTGATGTAAACGATCCCGGAGGAGCTTTGTGTTGCGGTGTAACGCCACTTCATGATGCAGCTGTCTGTGGCAATTTTTCCATGATGTCTCTTCTCCTGAAACACAACGCGGATGCCTCCCTTAGAACTACCCAAGGAGAGACTGTCCTGGACTGTCTAGTAGGCTGGAGAAACCGCGTCGAGGACTTGTCACCTAGTGAACAAGCGGAGTATGAAAAATTAAAGAAAAAATTATCTGTCATAGTGCCACCCAGTTCTGAACGACCTGATACAGTATCCACAAGCTCTAAGTCGGCATGGCATGAATTGCTTGACGAGGAACAAGAAGAGGAGTATGAGAGGCCCAAAAAAATATCTGCTGGAGAAGATTACAAGAGGACCATTGCCAATTTAAGGAATAGAGGTGGTGTTACAGCAATGGCAAGTAGACCCTCAGAAACTCAGAAGATAACAGCACCGCTGCTTGATAGTGAACAATTGCTGATCGATGACTGGCTGGAAGATGACATGAGGGAAGAAAGTACATCACGGACACACTATTCTGACAATTTACCGAACTTCTCTAAAAGAAAGTCCAGCAATTCTATTTCAGATCAGGATAAAAACACGAAGAGGCAGAGACTCGAGTCTGAAGATAGTAATGATGCTGTTTCCTTGCTCGATGATAACAGTTGTGATAGCAATAGCAGTGAAATCGTTAGTATTTCCAATCGAACAAAGAGACCTGGTAAAAATCGTAGCAGACAAGTATCATTGTTGACTGCTGGTTTTACCAGGGACTCCACTTCTCGTACTCCATCACCAATGACGTCTTCTACCTCTCAACATTTACCACAACAATCATCCCGATCAGTCCTGATCAATCTTCAAGTATCAGTTGACCATAAGATATTTGATATGAAGATAAAACTTCCTGAACAAGAAAATAAAACAATAGCGAACATCACAGATGATATTAAGAAGAAATTCGAGGACTGCACAGGCTGTCAGGTCAATATGAATTTAACAACAATAAATGGAGATTCTCTATCTCCTGATGCTACTATGGATAGTTTGATAGCAAATGGAAACACCTTTGTGTTAAAAAGTCAAGTAATTGATATGCAGATACCACCCATTGTTGAGAGATACAAAGTTGTCTGTTCGACTCTAAATATAGGTATGCGCGTTAACATATTACTGAGTGTTATTAGTAATGATAAAATCTTGTCGAATGTAAAGAAGTTAATAATCAATCACTACTATGATTTTTATCCTTCCAGGTGTACAGGACTCGATGATTAAGTGTCTAAGAATTTGTGAGAATACATCAACGGTTCGTCTCAATCCAAACGAAACTTTGCCAGAGGAACTGACACCATTTTTAAAAAGTTTAGAATACCAAAAGCCACTTCAAGTACTCCATCTGTCAGGAATAACTCTTTTTCACTTTGGTGATCTTCTAAACAGTTCGCTGATGCAACTGATCTCTCTACAAGAGTTACACATGAGAGGATGTGATATAGATTACAATTGTTTATTTCAAATTGATAAGTTACCTTTGCAACTGAAAATCCTGGATTTGAGTTACAATATTTTGGGCTCTGAGAGTGAAGGTAAACTTTACCAATTATTAGCTCCATTAAAGTGCCTTCAAACATTAAATCTATGTTCTTGCGAGCTGCAAGATCTGCCATACGCCATTACTAGTAACGCTCTTGTCAACCTTGACGTATCTTGGAATAATCTTGGGGGTGAGGGTGTAGACAAATTTTTACAGCGTCAAATGCTGAGTCTAAATTTGTCTAATACTCTGGAACGGAACAAATCACCTGTGATTACTGTACTCTTGAATAACTTTGCGACATCTCTTTACACTTTGGAATCTCTTGAATTGGCTTGTTGTCATATTCAAGATTCCGATGTTGACAATATTTTGTCAAAATGTCCTAACCTCGCTAGACTTGTACTTAATGGTAATTCTAATTTAACAAAATGCTCAGTAATTGCTGCCCTAAAGCACGTGCCTACTTTGACTTACATCGATATTAGTGGATGTACAGAGATTTCTGATGAGCCAGAACCGGAAGTAACTATACAAAATCCAGAAGTATGTACCTTGATGATTAGTATGGAACCAAAAGTACAAAGCTCTTGGTTAGTATTATGGAAGGATAGTGGAATTGTTAAAAGTTTGCCTTACAATGTCGCTATCTTTAAGTCTATCTTGTAAATCTGTCATCTGTTCATCGTGTTTTAGGAATAGTTTTGATACAGTTGCTTAGAAATAGTGACACAATATAAATTATCTTAAACTTTTACTTTAACGTTATGTTGTACATTCTATTTCCAATTTTACAATGTATACTGTCAACGTGCACACAATTCTCATCCGAATTTGTAGCCCAGAAATTGTTAAGACTGTTGGTTAGAGATGGAAGTAGAGAATTCAGACGTTCCTCTTTGTCTCCAAGACACCACAAGAAACTGGCATGATACGAAGCTTCCTGAATAACAAATCATATAGGATCTTTTTTTTCTTATAACAAATTTCAGTGTCGTATTTTAAAAAGTTACAAGCTATTTATTGGCTAAGTTTTTTAAACAATCATTTTACAGTTACACATATATCCCAGTGGTAACGTACCTTGTTAAATTATATTGTAACTGTTATGTAATTAATAAACAATCAATATTTTATGTTACACGATTATTTAAACTACTTAAATCGTCATTATAAAAGGAATTAGATCTTTATTTTATACAATGAGTATTTACCTCATAAAATGGTGGTAGTTGATACTCGGCAAGTAATTTATTAAATGCTTTTGTCAAGTGGTCCAATGTTCCATTATCACTTCTACAGCATATTCCAAGAAATGTTCGTGTTCTGTCATCGTTGCAATATGCTTTTACATCTGTGAATTCCACTGAGAACTGGCTTATGTTCTGACAGATATTTTTCACAGCATCAATGAATGAATCAATCCAATGAAACTTAAGGGTCACAGTACGAGTTAAACTAATATGAAAATGATCAAAGATCACACTATCTTCTATCGATATTAGTGATTTAATTGATTCCATCCATACTTTCATAGAATCGCTTGGAGCATCTAAACATTACAAAATTGTAGTATTGTCTGTTATATTCCTGAAACTTTAAAGTTTATCTTTTACCCCGATTTACATACAATTAATGTAAACTAACGTTGCCCAGTTACCACGTTCATGTTTGAATGATCGTATCCTTCCATCATGTAAAGAAGGATCATCGATTACTTCCTCATGATGCGAAACACCTTTCCATTCAACAATACTTAATGGAAGTGGTAAACTAAAATATAAAACATACTTAATACTGTATTATAAACAATGACACTTGCCATATACAAACTAAACACCTCCATATTAATTTGGCTGATGAATTTTATTCTGTCAACATAACATAACCTTACAATTATATATTTACCTTCCTTCCGCCTTTTTGGTTTCAAAATTTGGAATATCATTATTTTCTACTTCGCCATCCGAGTCTGATGAATATGTAGCTATCAAACTTAAACCAGACATCATTAATAAATCATATTTATCAAAAACTATAATTCTATAACCACTGCGGGAAAAAGTAATGTGAGACTAGAGAGCCAATCACAACAAAACTTATAACCAGAAATAGGCAGAAGGGGAAGCACAAGTTGTGTTCTTTTTTTCGGATACTTCGTTATATCTCCATAGGAAGTGATAAGGAGCAATTGTCAGATAGTCTTAAATCACCCGTTTTCACAATTCTATAGGGAATATTTGAAATTTCAATAAAAATATTGAATTTCAGATTATCATAATTGTTACAACATTCCATCACAGGAAAAAATGGTTGGTTATAGATACCCAGTAAATAAAAGTATAGCCTTAATGATTTTAATTTATTGTAATCATGTAAGTTTACAAACAGGAGCATTTACAATCATAATGTCCTATTTTATGGTAGAGAATTTACTAAATGGAGGGTGGGTGTTACATAACCAACCCAAATATATTAGATGCGTCCAGGAAATCTGCCTTCCGCAATTTGTTCATTCCACTTTTCAATCCAGGAGTTTGGGCAAAGGGACTCGTATACATTCTTGAAGTACTGGCACGCGTCATATTTCTCTCCACGTACTTTTGAACAGCGTTGAAAATCCAGGAAATTTTGGTAGCAATTCCTGTTTCATATTTATTTGAATTAGAATCATCTTTTCAACTTGCTTTCTGATTTAATTTTTTTAAATACTAACAACGTAAAATGATTCAAACGACACACAGAATTTTTTTTAGACGGATCAGGATACAAACTCAGTAAAAAATGAGAAAGTCATTCGCTTGATGATTACCTGGTTTGATTCTGGTTTGGAAACCTTGGGTCAAAAGGTGCTGTTCGGATGTCTTCAACTTTTTTCGGCTCAACGACAAATGGCATGGTTGCAATATAGCGTGCTGCTCAACAAGTTATACAAACGTTACTTAATTTCTGTAATACAATAGAATTTTGTGGAAGACGCATTAATTGCATTTTCCCACCCTCTTGCAAGAAGTAATCTCTACGCTTGTCTCTCGCTCTCGTCCACTTGTCTCTCTTATATAGTATGATATCACTTAAACACTAAACACAGTTGTTATCCTCTTGCTTGTTTCTCTTTACCACCTTCGTACTCTAGAGATTGATCATTTAACACTGTAGTACAGTTATTGGGAACAAGGCAAAAAATTAAATCCACGTGTCCCCTAATAGGAAAAGAATGACGATGAAAGACTTTGGAAAAAAAGGGACTGGTTATTTGACCAGCGGTCTGGTATTGTCCTCTTCCTGGCAACAGACTTCTCTATATTTCTTAACCTCTGCCATGTACAACGACCACGCATCCTTGGGTTGCTCTGCTGTTTGTTCCGTCTTTGGCTTTGCTACCATTCCAGTTTTAAGAATCCTACCACCGCGTCTTTTGCCAACCATCAATGGGGGTGGAGCTACAGGTTTCTCTTCCAAGACCGATGTTGCTGGCTTTTGTGAAGGTTGCATTTGCTCTTGCATTTTCTTAAACATCTCCATAAAACTGCCATCGTTCTTGAAAGCATTAGGCTGTGGAGGAACTACTGGTTGTGGAACTCTCATCTCCGTAGAATCTTCAGGTGTATCAGATTCATAGGAAGGTGCTCTATGATGTCTTCTGCTCTCTCTGTATCTGTGCCTGTCTCGACTCTTATTGCGACTACGACTACGTCTTCTATCCCTAGATCGTGATCTTCCACGCGACCTCGATCGCGATCTATCCCGTCTTGAATACTTTCGTGATCTCTCCTTATCCCGGTCACGATCTTTGTTGTCTCTGTCGCTTGAACGCGAACGTCTATGGGATGAACGTGCTGGTGACGATCTGGAATCGCTGCGCCTTCGTCGGCGTCTCTCCTGAGGTGAGTCGTTACGTGAAGATCTGCCAGTTCTGTAGTCAGGAGGTGACTGCGATCGTCGAGACGATGTTCTGCTTTTGTAGTTCTCGTGCGTGGTGAAGCTTGTGCTATACGAAGGAGGTGAAGGTGGCACAGGCGATGAGTCTGAGTTTGACCTGGGGCCACGATCGTGTCGTTTTGAATCCATGCTGGCTGGCTCTGTTACCTCGCTGGCCAGGCTGGATGGACAGAGACGGACACCTATAAGGATAGAAACTGCCTTCTATAAGTACACAGTCCAGTTCGACAAATCACACCATTACCAACTGGCATTTAATACACGTTCTCAAGAGACAAGCAGACTTAGAGCGAGAGATCGAAACATATTAACTAAGAGATATATATGACTAACATTAGACAAAATCATGGAGTGTTATTCAACGTCTTGAGGCATTGACTAACTTATCAAGAATTGTTCATATTAATGTATACATTTTACATATCAGAACAACGAATGGATCTGACTTCTTACAAGGTCTTGTGTCAAAGCCTGGTATAAGAATAAATATTAATCATATAATTATCAATCTCATTGAATATTTTACAAACTATTTCAAATGTAGAAACAATGGATTGGAACATTACTACGTTGGCTTTAACACAAAACTGTGGCAATCATACTTAATCAACATTATGAAAATTATATTGACAAAGTACATAAAGAAGAAAGTTTCTCTCGAATAATCGAATGTAGCACAGAAATAAAGAAATGATTAAAACTATTGAAGACTGATGAGTTATGCAGGCGTCCTTGATTCGACGAATTATTCGAAACCCAAAGTTCAATCGATATTTCGTGAAGCAAATCATAACATTTTCTTCTCGAAATATCAAAGGACAATCACGTGGATGAGAAAACAGATTATATCATTTAGAAAAGTTTTCTCCAGTGGACGTTTTGGTCGATACAGGTGCGCAAAATTTTCAGAGTATGGTCTCGCCCGAATACTCCCAAAGAACTTGCTATGACCAAAAACCATTTTGCTCAGAGACACGCACAATCATCCACGAGTACCTGGTTTACTCAAAAGCCCTGAAGGCCACTTAATTCTTCTAAACTATTCAAATTATTTCTATATGTAATACCTGATTCTGTCTTGTAGTGAAAACAAAATGGCCACTAAGAAAAACTAGACCAGAAGACTCGTTACGTCATGCACACGAAAACTAGAGAACTTCAGATATCGTACTCAATCGTACTGTTCCTCTGGCAGGCAGCGCGTAAGGTTTAAAGGCGAATTTGCAACGGGCGACCTCTTCGGAGCTTTATCAGTTTTTCGGTACTATAAACCATGAATAAAGTTTACATAAACGCTTATGCTTTTACTAATTTATTGAAAACAGAAATTTTTTTATATTTATCGCTGTTTTATTGCATTCATATAACCACACATGAATGACCCTTTTGAATAAAATCCGGAAATATAGCAATGGTGATAAAATAATTAGTTAATATAATTTTTCGCGCGAAACTTCAAGTTAAATTTAAATAATTAGAATATTTATTTTTCGTTAATCGATTCATTTAAACATAAGTCTATACATTACTGCATTGTGTATACAAAGATATATATATAGTATATAAAATTAATACTTTTGACTTTATCGAAATACAGAATTAGTATTTGTTTAATAAATTTAACTTGATGAGCATTTAATATATTAATATACCTTTTCAATACTTTCAAACAGAAGGGTTAAACACTGTAATCAAATGACAATGGCATGAGTATTGGTAATCGGAGATGACATTTAGAAAAATACATTATCAATAACTTAGAAAATGAATCGCAGTTTAGAATCATACCCTAGTTTGTCAAAATTAGGACTACATGCCAGATTAATCATTGGACCTGGTCCACACATAAGGATAATTGTATCGGAAGATGGAGGAAAGGAATGTTCCTGTATCATATTGGCATTAATATGACCAGTACTGTACGCCCAATCTTTATCAGGATTACTAAGTGTGTACCATACTGTAAACTGATCACAGTGTTCTTTGGCAGCATTATCCAATTCATTTCTTAATAATATATCTTTCTCTGTACGATTTGCATAAATTAAATTCATGTGTGTATTATCCTCAGGGTGATCTAATACATGGCGAATAATTCGCAGTATTGGAGTAATTCCTGAACCACCAGCTATCATTACCATCTTCTTCACATGGTGATGTATTATTGGTTCCTTTCTAAAGTTCTTTATTTTAATGTTTCCACAGCCTTCATACACCAAGCGACCAGCAGGTCCCCGAAAATCTAAAGTGTCTCCAATTTTAAGATTATTCAGGTACTGAGACATTTTACCTCCTTGAGGAAACTTTGGATCGGTATTTTTAAAATACACCTGGAAATTTATATGAATTCATAGTTAAAGGATGGCTATTCCTTAATTATTTACAAAACTATTTATTATCATATGTATTATACATACCTTTACTATTATATCGACAAAACCATGATCATTGTCACTTGAAACAGGCGAATAGGCACGTGTTACAAGTTCTCCAATATGTGCCGAAACATATACATGCTGACCAGGTGGCAATCCCAGTACATGATTTGGTGATGGCAGGGCAAATCGAAATCGTCGAGTATCATGGCTTACAATCTCTTTTTCTAATAATGGCAATGTATATTTAACTGTTGGATCCAGCAATGTCAAAGGAGTTTTATTTTTGCTCCTTTCTTTTGTGACACTGTTATAAATTTTGAGTGCTACACTAACACTGGCAATAGCTCCCAATGCAACGACAATGCATAAAACCTAAAAAATCAAGTTTGGTACATAAAAGAAAACCTGTAGATTATTTGTGTACACTTATAATAAGAATATCATTACAAAAACACATTAAACAGCTTATGTCATATAACAGTACCACTTGTTTTGCTCAGTCATTTGCATTTACAATATAATACCATTTTTCTTGTGTCTCATATAAAAGAATAAAATTGCTTGACATACCATTAGCTAATATTTCAGGCTTCCTGTATATTATTACAGTTTATGTCAAGGCACAATAATTACAGTAATGACTACATAAACTACATCCTTGTATAAAAATGCACTTTCCAACAATCACGCAATACGATTAATAAGAACTTCAAAGTAATGTTTTGATAAAATAAATAAATTCCGAACTCAAAATAACAAGTGACACGGTAGTTAGATTTGAAAAAGCGGAAATGATGATAAATGACGGCGCCAGAAGTAAGAAACGTCATTCAAAAAATGTCTGATAACAAATAATCAACAATGTGTTGTATCATTGACTACAAACAATTAAAGAATAACTACATAATTTGTATGAAAATTATTTTGTAAAAATAACACAAACCCCCCACGTATCCTTCGGTGAGACAAACATCTTCGGCAAAACTTCTGAGGCAGCACAAAACCAATATTCGTAAGCAGTCAGTTTCTTTACCCTGAAGTATCAAGTAACAGGATATATTATCGCCACTTAGAAAATCTCAAATAAATTCACAAGTAAAAACAAAAGGTAAAGACGTAACGTTCCTCCTGACAGTTCAGGCGCTACTACCAACTACTACAGGATTGCATAATACGTCAGAGACTTTAGTCACATTAAAAATAAAAGTACGTGAGACTAGTCCTAATAAAATTCTTAAAGTACAAGTATGTAGTACAATAATGTATTCAACATGGTGAAACATTTATGAAAATGGTCATAACTTGCATTTTTCTCAAATCTGAAAAAAGTTGTATTCATGATTTTTCTTTTGGCATATACAATACCTTTCGTTTTTACTAAATCCTTTCTCATTAATCGCACAATACTTGTAAGCGTTCTTTCAATTATTTTCAAATGGCTTCTTCGTATCAAATCGACTTGGGTATCCTCTAACAATCAATGTTACCTATATTACAAATTTTTTTATGAAATTAACTAGGAGAGGAAGCACTACTTGCTCTGTAAAAATAATTTTGCAGTATTTTTCAAGCCTACTTCTTTATATCCACTATACGTAATGCATCTGAAAGAGAATTGGTATCAGTACTAATGAAAAATGTAACATTTCTTTTTTCATATAGTTATATCATTATCCAAAGAAATACGATACGCCAAATACTCTTAAATGTTTCCTGTTATAGCTGCTAAAGAAAACAGTGATAGGATTCGATTTTACTTGAGCAGGATATAGGTATTCTTTTTCCCTACAGACACTTTTGGTTTAAAACAAGATGGATTTCAAATAACAGATGGCGACACTATACCAACGACATATTCCAGTAGTATCGACATTATCAGATTGCGCAATCATTCGTTTACCAAACAAAGTGATAGATGCCGTTACATACAGAGGTTCATAATTTTTCTAAAATAACTCACACGTTTCAATTGCTTTATTACTGTTTACTAAAGTCTGCCAGTCTAAAAAAAGAAAAGATATGAATATACAGAATAACTGATTCCTACATGTGACACACTGATAAATAACAAGCATATCAGATAATAAATATTTTACTCTGCGTAATAACAAACGGTAAATAAGACAAGACGAGGTACTGGTTAATTTTCAAGTATTTCTTGTACATTTAACACTAAACGTACCATCAAGCGGTCATTTGACCGTTTAAAAAGCCAAAAATACATTTCTAAAAAATTGTTGGTAGGTTTAGTGTTAAACGTAGTATTGAAACGTCTGTTTCATGGTATGGCGCCATGTATGAACGATCGTTGTATAAATAAGGGTGCGAAATAAATCGATCATTCCATTATTATATGCCGAGCGTTTCATAAATACAGCCGAAATATAATCCTGCTCCTTCGAAACGATCCGTCTGATCAATAAACCATTCTATTCTTCCCCTCTACAAAAGAAACAATCTGAAGGTGACTATGGGATTGTGTAACCGAGAAAAGCATTCATCTATTAATTACTTTTATCCAGCTGCAGAATGGAGCGTTTACAGCACGACGTAATCAGCGGCTGCTTCGTGCGAAAGAGGAAACGTTATGTGCCGTGGGAATGCAAAGGTACCATTCGGTACCATGCGAGTGGATGACGTCAGTGGTAGCAGTAATTTTTTGTTTAAAAAAAGCGACAGTATGAAAAAAAAGGACGAAACACCGTAGAAGTTTATCGAGAAAAATAATCAGGTGTTTTATTTCATTGGCGATGCTTTCCTTTACTTTTATTGCAAAAGAATTTTTCTTCGTTGCAACTTAACCTCAACGCCGGTAAGAAATAATCACGAGTTCCAAATGCGTATTAATAGTAATGTAAACTTACGATCAATATACATGTATAGAATCAAATTCTTTCGAAATATCTCTGAATATATAATAAAATGTACATAAGATAAGCGGAAAGTCCCAACTCAACATAAGACTCTTTAGAAACTCAATAACATCCTGAATAAGTGTCCTTGAGGAAGCTGCAAGACGAAACAAATAAATCCATCGCAGCAGTGATTTACAACTATTTGCATAGAGTAAAGACAGGGTCGCATCGCAAAGTATTACAATAAAATAAAATAAACTTAACGAGGTCCATACACCAATAGCGAAGAGATTGGATATAAAATTAGCAAGGGTGAGTCAAAAATCTTCTCTCGTTAATATAGCAGCGTAATAAGACGTTTAAAAAAAATCCCATGATTCTCAATTCCAGCAGGGAAGAATCTGTACACCGCTGAATAAATCCTTTCTCCAAGAATATGCCCCGAAGCTACAGACATAACGATACGTTCGATCCCTCTAAGGCATAAGACTTATTGAGATTGCCAAAAAGGATGCAAGGTGATCCTTACCAAAGTTAATTCAGCTAAGAAGCTAGTCTCTACATACATACATACATCCATATATATTCACAATAGGATAGCTGGATCCGCGCAGCTCGTTCTGTTGCGTGAGTCGAGAGTCGTGACCTTGTGGCATTTGGTACCTGTCCGTGCCAGCCAGCCGAGCAACCTTCCAGAGAGCCAATCAGCAGCCAACGAATGAGGATAATTCAGCCAATGAGAACGCAGCATTGTAGAACGTCGACCAATCAGCTACCAGTTGTCAATTGTTCTAGGAGCATACCGAGTGAAATAGCAATGTACCATCACTTCTCGAAGAACGCGTACTTCACAACTACTACTTGCCCTTCTCGACGATGCCCATCCTGCGCCTTTCGCGTTCCGATACATTATGTATTTTCTCGCTAAACCGTCATTAGCCTCTACAAATGCCATCCAGTTGATACGACCTTTACCATTGTCCGTACTAACAACGAGGACGAAAACATTCCAAGTTACTTTCGTTGCCTTTGAGGAATACGTTGGTAGAGGAATATTCCGAGCAGACCCAACTGCACCATGTGGAGTTAACCTAGATATTTTAGATCGAATCAACTTCGTACGTTTGTGGAAAGAGTGAAATTTGTATATTGGAAATGTTAAGAATCACGTAACGTTTTTTATACCTGAAATTAAGAGACAATCATTATCGTATAATATCGGCTGCTGGGTGGACATCCTGACAGGAAAATTTTTTTGTAATTTTATTATTTCATCACAGCCAACATTTCACATCTCTCATTATCATACTTTTTCATGTTTATCGTATCGATTGTGTTACATATAATTTTTGTATGAATGACTTTTATTTGTCGTTCGGAAAAACCACTGCATTTGTAACGCAAGGCGAAACAATCGCGTGCGCTCTTTCGTGAAGTGCCTGACACCTCGCGATTAGGCGCTGCTTAACGGCTGTAAGAAATATTACTGATAGGTGTAAGGAAGTTATATTTATATTTCCCACGATCGATTTGTTACGGGGCAACTTATTTTATTACTATCTCGCATACTTTCCTACTTGTGACTTACGTTTGTCGCTAGTGATACAATTATTTTCTGAGGTTAAACAGTGACAAATTTTAACGAGACACGAAACCGACTTTGTGAATTGCGAATGATTTGCGCTTTCGTGAAAGTTTTCATAGAAACGAATTCGATGCAGTTTTTAGAGGAAGCCGCAAGAGCGTAAATTTGCGACAACGATCAGCTTGATTTTACTGTCACGGATGTATAAATAATCATAGATTTTTATGACGACCTTTCAATCGTCATGATCGTTATATATAAGCTTTATTCCCATGTTGGATATCGTTTATGGATAAACAGGTTTTTTCCTGGAATCATTGATTGGTCAGATTTTGGAAAATTCCATGCATGAAAAATCGCTTTCGATGTGATTTGATATTTGTATGTATATACATAGACATTTTTTAGTTTTGCTACAAGTAACAGCTACTGACATATGGTATGATTTATGTATACTGTATCGATTTATAGGACGAAGTCATACAAATTTGGCCATGAACTTAGAATCAGCTATAGAGAAGAGAATTTTATACTGGGTTTTACTTGAAAATGACGTAGTACTATAGCTATACTGTCTAGTTCGTTCAGTTTCGACCTTGATGTGTTTTCATGGTATGATTTAGCATATCGTCAACAGGTAACTACTTCTGACAATGATACTGATATTGGTTGCATCACGATCCTCTGAAATTGTTAGAGTCCACGATAAATAACCTGGTACAGAGTTACGCTTATTGAGATTAGTGAGGTTAATGAGGAGTCTGACTACGCTGCAACGTGTCATTGAATGAGATGCTTAATTGCAGTCTTGCTCGGAATGGAAAATAAAGGACGTCAGGAGAGCGAGAGGGTGAGAGGGGGGCGGAGGGGGAGAGAGAGAGAGAGAGAGAGTTGTCGCAACAACGAAGAAAAGTTTTTAAGGTGTTTTGTCGCTCGATTTCTTGTTCCTTGGCTTTGTGCAAGGTGTAAATAATGGCGGCCTGTCGTGCCCGCAACACGTAAGCAAGATAAAAGCCCATTGCCTTACTCTTTTGTAAAAGTAAAGTATCCCCATGTATTAATATACATATATTTGTATCGTCACATTTTAGCCGATAGAAAAGGTACGGTAGTTATCGAAATTAACGGTACGTGTCATTACAACGGTCGGTAGTCCAGGTAACGTTGTACGAATTTTTGATAGTTCGTCTCCAGGATAGCTGGATGACTCAGTCTAGGAATAATGGTGTACAAGAAGGAAAGCATCTTCAGGTAAAAAAGAAACACCTGCCGACCAAGGGAGAGTCTCATTGAGATTTAAAGGCGATAGAAAAGGATAAGTGAAGAATGGAAAAGTGAGTCTCGAGATGAGGGTTCTATCACGTTCTGTTTGCATTTGTTTGGGGTACTTCATTTATGGCATTCTGTCAATAGACCACAGATAGGGAGGAACGAGCTATGTACGTCACATGAAAAATAATGTAGAGACCTATACGTACCATTATTTGCAACCCCGACCTGTGTATCAATTATGGTACATGGAGTCTGCGTCAATCTCTACACGTCACCACCAGACAAATCCGACAAGGATTGATGACAGGTCACGTTAGAAATTTTCGGCCATTGCCATTCAGCAGTATGTATATCTTCTTCATTTATGTGTTGGCATCAGTTAGGATAAGCTTCCTTTACAAGCGGCCACCAGTATATATATCAGTGCACAATGATTTTGTTTTTATCACAATCACACGTGACTTCCTGTAATTCAAACTGTATATTGTTTTCTGATGAAATAAAGAGGAAATACATTTTGCACCGGTAAATTAGCGTAAAGTGTTCTCCCGTGTATGGTTGTCCCAGGTGGTACCATCCTAACCTTCGGAATTATATTTAAATTCATATACTGATTGGTGAGGAATGCTACTGTATCATAGCAATAAGAGTAAGGTAAAAGATTGATAACGAATGTAAATATTGGATGAAGTGTCAATCGCTTCCGTAAGACTAAAATTAAAAACTGTACTAATATAATGAAGAGCCCTGGAGGAATTGTGAGGACCGAGTGAACCAGCTCCTGGCAAATGCAACATCGGATACACGACAGGTCGCTGACGATCGTGTACGGAGGAATCCGATTGGTCGTAGCAACTGGCGCTGAGCCGTCACCGGCCAATCCGCCATGTTGAGCTGTGAGATCCAAGTGGCAGTCGCTTGCTGACCGCGACCGGGTAAACGTCGCCCGCACGAGCCATGAACTGACTCTGACGCCAGTTCGTGAACCGTTCACGCTTTTTTACGTTTTTCCGTTTATTCTTCTCTACGTCCGGCGACGAGCCGTGTCTTACGGAGCACAAGCTCCTCGCGGATTAAAGGCTGACGAGTGGCTCTTAATTTTTTTTAAATTTTTGAATTAACAAATATAAACCAATAAAACAAGTGTGTCGTGCCTGGTGGTAGTGCGTGCTAGTGAGTGATCACCACGGGGGTGTGCGATGGCGGTGGCTGCGGAGCCGTGGCGGAAAAGTGGCTGCCACTTCCGGAGAACGCGGCTTCTCGCAGCAGCCCTCGTCCTATTTGCTCAGGTCGCGGTGATCGGGTCTTCCAGACGATCCGGTGGTATGTTTATTATCTATTATCAAGAAATTATTTACAGTTTGATTAGAAATACGACCGAAAAACTTGTACGAGTAATTTCGAATGGCGTAAACTGTGCCGCTTATGAAACGATGTTCTTTAGAACATTCCGGATGGTAAATTCAGCTGTGGAATTTTTCATATTTGTCAATTCTGTGTAGACGACTCTTTGAAAACGGCTAGGTAAGGTGGTAGTAGTAGCAGCGAAGGGGCGTAGCGAGTAAAAAGGCCGCCAGGTAGATGTTTGAGGATTCTAAAGCAGGTCGTAAACCTGTCATCGTGAATCTGTAGAGTGAAATGTATAAACAGTGCCGTATTATGTTTTATTTCAATTTTTTCTTTATCACTGTCAAGCAGTGTAACAACTGAAAATTAGACGGGACGTCGTATCGCATGACCCATTGACTTGGTCATTGAAAGTTCACGAATGCTTTGAAGGAAATGGCGCTTGAGTCTTTGCAAGAGAAAAAAAAAAGGTAGTCGGCACCGAACACGATTATAACAATGAAGGAAGTGAGAGCATGAAAACGTGCTCGTGGATATTACACCTAGGTATATGAGTTACGGCAACATTGAATCTGGAGTCTTCTGTTTAGCCGTACCAACCGTCGAAAATAAACCGTGTCTTGCAGCAACACGGAAACTCGCCTTGTTTTTAATACCAACAGGTTCTCAAAGTTTTGTGGCAAAAAAATCTTGCAGTTTTTCTTATTATTGATCTTTTTTGGTTTCCCCGCGGTATTTCTTTCTCCTTTTCAACAAGTTGCTACAGAAATGAAAGCAGGACTGTACAATGAAGCATCCGTAGAGACGTCTCACACGATCCAAATAGAAAATCCGTAAAGAGTCTGTCTGAAGTTTTTTTTGTCAAGTTTTTGTCATTCAATCTATTTATTCAGCACGGTATAATAAGTATGGCGGGTAATTCGTTCGTTTCAAAATACGATCGTTTGAGACCATCGAACTCGCTGATACGCAGGATTATCGATTGCTAATACACAATTGAAATTTAATATCTCGGGTTTCATTTTTTTTTCTCTTCGCTCCTTCTGTCCGGAGAATTCAACGTATTTTTTTTCTGTCTCTCTCACCCGGTACTCGGGTCTGTAAAAGTATCCTATACGGCTAATATAACCACGTATGATACACGTATGTACTCGTATTTGGACATCCGAGGAATTGATCGATGCACTCGCCGGTATAAAATGTTGAAAAACTTTGGCGGCACCAAGTGTACGATTAAGTCACGTGACTTCAGGCGTAGTTTCCGCTGACTTTGGCATTGCGATCAAGTTCAACGGTGGCATTAACTCGGCGTGGCGAAGCGTGGTACGACAAGGCCAAGTCAGAACACGATTAAAAAAAGGGAAGGAAATAAAGCAGAATAAAAACAAAAAACCATCGCGACTGATAAGCGGTTCATACATGACAAGACATTATCACATATGAGAATTGAAATGTTTTTACGTACGATGATAGCATTCGTATACATATGGACGTGACGAGATCAGTCTCACTTTGAAGTGCCAACTCCTTATTTCTTACTACGTAGATGAGTCCCCTCGATGATAGAATTGACGTCGGCAGCTCTGCTTCGTAATAATATTATGATGCCCGCATCCGCAGTATATAATGTATTTTATTTCTTCATTATTTATCTCCCTTCACTTATTTCACCTAAGTACAGTCAGTCAACTTGTCAGATGCGAAATGGACATTTTCTGTTTTGACTTCCTCAGCGGGCAACTCCGCTCAGTCTATCTACGCAGACCACTGGGTCCTTCTTAAGATCCTAATCGCTTTACACGAATGCTACACTCGAAGCGGACGAAACCGGTTTTTCACCTGGTTTCTCAAATCGGCCCGCTCCTTCATCCTCACGATATCAAACCGGCAATACGTAGGACCGTAACGAGCTGCTGAGAGAATACGAGTTCATGAACGTTAAAGTTTTTCGGAAAAAATTCCCTGACCTCGTAGTCATTATACGCGGATGGATTTCGATCGAACGTAAATCGCTCTTTGTAACGTGACCGTGAAAGCTTGACGGGATAGAACCGGTTCCGGTTCTCTTTGGGATCCAGGACTCTTTGAAATCGATGCACCCATTATTATTGATGCTGTCTACGAATATACCTGTATAATATACGAGCATATATATACATATATGTAGAACTACCCATTGAAAGCGTTGTAAAAAAATTTTCTTTTCATTCAATTTAAAAATGGACTACCTGCGCTCCAAGATGGAATTTCGGATCGTTTCTCAATTCTTTTTTACCAATTACTGTCTGTAGGATTCGTCCTATTTCGACCTAACCTCATTTTAACCTCGACTAACCTCGTACTATCTCGTCACTAGGACTAACGGTAATTTGTACCCACAGATATTTTACCAATGCCCAACAAGGAACAGACCCATAAAGTACGTCGGACCTGAAGTTCTGTGTTCAATATTATTCAAGTACGACACGAACAGTATACGTGTGAAAAATTGTTTCGTAACCTATAAAAGATGTCGCTATTTTTCCGACACAAAGGATGTTCCAGTTATCGAAGAATATTATTCATTAAAATTACCATGTGAGTCAGGCAGTATTTGCACTTGTAGCAATATATACAGACACTCGATAATTCATTTACGGCCATTATTGCTGCTCATTTTTTTTCATGTCAATTAATCGACACGAAACAATACCGTCCGCCTCGACCGGTCGATTCTGTTGTATCGTTATCCTCAATTGTCACCGACGTGCCCATAATGAATTCTTCCGCCTGTATTATTTCTCTTATCCTCTTTTCTCGTCCTCGAGCCTTTTTCTCGCGTCTCGAAGAAACTCCGTAATGCATATCTTACTCGTGCTCGTTGTACGAATTCACGCACGCTTGATATGGTTTTCTAGCCGTGACCATTTTCTATCGAATCGACATTGAATATATTCAGGCAGTATGTTTTATCTCGTTCACAGACGCATATCACAGATATTATCCTTCCTCGAAGAAATTAACGTACGTTAAATGAAACACGTAGTCGCTTCGGTATTCGCGGGTGACAACGTGTACAGCTTTGAATTTGAAAATCGTTTATCGCGCATGCGCACTCGCGACGCCCCATTAACGTGCCAAGCACGCGCGGCCTCACGTCGTCGAAAGTTTACTGTGCGTTTCGCGTATCACGTTTAATCGGAAACTCCGTGTTATATGTGTATGCAGGTAGATGCTTTTGTTTTTCAATTATTCTGCTATTCATACCGTGCTATCGGGCTAGACTGAATTACGGAAAATAGCGAAATTGTTTATTTCTAATCTCATTCCGACAAACGGTAGGATGTTATCGATATTATGTGTATACAGGAGTCGCGTGAATCTTTGTAGTTTTCACGGACGACGTGCAGGATCGTGGAAAAAAAAAGTGGAACGGATTACAGATAATGCTATGACCTTTCTCGTTGGAAACTGTTCCGCAATGTGAAGTCTTTGCTGGTAGATCGATCATGAAGAACGAGTTTCCTGTTGCGCTTTCTCAATTAGGTAGAAAATTTCGGGTCGACAACGATGCCAGTCTCTTTCTTTTTGTCTACACTAGTAGTCAGCGACAAGGATAGTCTCTGTGCTCGAAAGGACTTTGAAGCGAGAACTTGTCATCGTGCATTGTTTCACTGACTACGAAGTGACCGATCAATTTTACTGGATCATCATTCCTACGCACTATATCAGAAGTGGTGAGTGATCTTCGCATAACCTTGAATACCTATCAGTGAATAATTATTTTGATCACTATTGATTATAACCTTAAAAAAAGGATACGTCCACAAGTTCTACACCTATTCCATTCGCTGCTAACATTCTTCTTGTATTTGTCCAAAGAGAAAGAACGTTTCCAGTGTTTCCGGTTTTCCTTTCCCTTTTTCATCACCGTGCAAACTCTGCCAACTCGTCAACTGGAGAGATCGCAGGGTACAGTCTGGTTTCCGGTGTCTGAACGAATTCATCGACGTACGTCGAAGACTGAGCTCGTCAGGATGAGAGAAAGAGAAAAAGACCTGGACTAGGTCCTTCAAGACCAAGAGAAACACGAGGAGGATCTCAGTACGCCCAGACGCGGTATTATTGTACAGTATGCTAGAAGTGGAATGAGTGGAAGGAGTTTACCACGTCGCGAAGACCTCTTTGAGATAGCGAGAGAGGTTCGCCTGGCAGGTAAAGTCAGTAGGCGGGCTGAGGTTCATTCACCTCAGGCTAGCGGGCGGCCGGATAGCGGGACCCTGGTTCCAATGGTCCCGGTCCGATCGTACCGCCCTGTATACGACGTCGACTGCTGCTACACGACACTTCTAGTTCTTCTATAGGCACATCCCGTGCCCCTCGAGACTTGTTTTTGTTCCAAAAGAGGTTAGAAAATGCCTTTATAAATTCGATTACTTCACCCGATCTCGTCCATAATGTACTACAGGCTGTATCGATTAAGAAAAAAAATAACTGGGGTGTGGCAAGTAACACGATGATAAAGTTCAACCTGATGTTGAAATTACTCTAGTGAAAAATCATCGATCCTTACATCCTTGGTACAGACTTCTACTTCAGGTATACCATTACTTAGCTATGTTGAATTATAATTGAGTTGCACGCTGTACTTGAAACTACCTGTATACAGTATTCAGGTACGTTAATACCAATTCTGAAGGATCGTAATTCTTCTAGACCTTTATTCAAGAATTGGAATTCGTATTAGACGTGGTTTCTGTGTCAAGCTGAGAAGTCATCGGTGTTATTTTCTGTTCACCCTGTATATCATGTGGGATGACAATTCACCTCAGTAGACACCGAGAGTCAGAGAGAGAGGAAGAAAATGAGACAGATGGAGAGAAAGAGCGAGAGAGAGAGAGAGAGCTCGACCATGACGCGACCTGTACACCATGTAGGTTGATAACTCTCAGCTCGTACCCGGTACTGTTTGCTACGTATGCATATGAGTACATACTTGCCTCTAACGTATGTACACTCTATGCACAAATGACACAAAGACGCGTGACAATTACAGTCAGACTTGATGGGGCTGTAAGACGATCGATGAAAAAGAAGAAAAAAAATTGTTAATTTTATTCATAACAGTACAATGTATTATACCAAGCCTAGTGATAAGGCGCGGATGTAATTAATGAAGAACCGTTAGGTCTAATCACTGTCGACCGACGTAGGCTCGGTTAGAGTGTCGCTTTGATTTCTCTAATAACGCGTATAATGAACCCTTTTGTAATTACCTATAACGAGGTCTTATGAACCTAACGAGTTTTAATTGTTCATTTCGTAGAGGCGGTGTATGTCACACAAAGTTTTGGGCTTGTTTATGCTTAATGTAGACCCTGAATTTCGCATAGCTGTAATTAGAGGACGTGCTTCTCATCGTTACGATTTGTGCATGCTGATAATCATAAGATTTAATCATTGCGCTTGGTATATATTGTCCTTAGGAAATTTTACTGAATTGCTCTCATTGATCGTTGCACGTTGTATGGATTGATTTTATTTATTTCCATAGAGGGGATTCCCTTCAATATCAAGGTTACGTCTCCTTATCTAATCTTGCCGGTCCAGGTTGATATTTTATCACTGGAATTCATCTCGTGGGAAGACGCGTGCAAGTACGCGTAACGTTTGCGTTTAGACGAGTCCCATAGACTGTCTGAGGCATATGTTTTCCATTTTGCACGACAGGAGGCAGCACTCGTGACTCTCATGGGTGAAAGTTTAAGTTTCCCACGAAAGCCCCACCTTCGCGGTGAGCGCGATTTTCTTTGTTTAACGAATCGCACTGTGCTGCGTTCACGTTATGCAAGAGTCTTTGGTCCTGGACAAGGCGGATCTTCAAGTTGGGAATTTATACCTGAGCTCCGCGCATGCGCACTCGACTAACCGTTATAGAATGGAATTTTTCTTTTTTTATTTGAATTTAGAACTCACGTGCTTTGCTGATTCGGAGTATTATTATATCTATATATTATTCGAGATATAGTCATGACGTTGGCTTTTAATATGTGAACCAAGTGGACTTGTGCACAAGTTCAGTCGATCTGCTTTTACTGATTGATCCAGTTTAGCGTGTATATGCTAACACTGATAGCTCATATATACTATATATATAGTATTCCAATGTGAACTATTAATAGATATTTTTTATTACTATTTAATACTTGAATGCGGTTGCGGGTCATTAACTTTTATTTTAATGGAACACCAGTAGTAAAACGTCCATATGGTAGAAAGCCTAGAGATTGCGGGAGTAGTTCGTCGAGTAAATATTGAAATACTTATTCTTAAACAATGTATTTACATTGTCGGCCGTTAAAATTAATATTTTTATCGAAATAATTTTTGGCTAACACTTAGAAGACGTTACGTCACGCGTTCTATACGCGATGAGACTGAAATTTGAGATTAATTTTAAAACTCATAAAATTATAGTTTTAAATTTGGAATTTTCCAAAAAAAAAAAAATTTGATTTAAAAAAAAACGTACAATCGTCTCCTTTGGGGAATTCAAATCTATTCTGTACTCTCGTGAACAGATTTTAGGCTTTTGGTAAAGGTCCAAAAAAGAACCCAAACTCAAGTTACGGATTCACAGAAAGAAATTCGAGACTCAACGTTCGTAGATACGCGTCAACACTGTATACTTGAATACCCAGAGTATTCCTACTGTGACATAATTTATTTTATCATCCGATCCTACTGACTCTCTGAGCTAGCACCGAGACCACTCGAGCACCGTAACTGGAAAAAGGAGTTCACGCCAAGAAGGACAGCTCGAGGCTTCGGTGAAGTCTCTCTGAGAATGGCGTATGCATTAATTAGCCCCAACTAATTGGGTTTGTCTAACGAAAGACCAGCAGACACGGTCCCTTGTCACACGTTGACATTCCACAATTCCATTTCTGCGCACTGTCAGCTGAATCGACCATGGTTTGCGCAATTCGTCCCCAAAGGTATACCTAACACTTAAAGATTCACAGCCGTTAACTGCCCAGCTACTAATCCAGTTCGACGTAAAATAAATTAATTTTCTTTAGTTTTACATAAAGTCGTCAACCATCTTGGACGAAGAGTTTGCGCAAGTCGTTACTTCCATAACTCAACGAAGGAGGCTAACCTTAAGTGTGCAAATCATTAGAGAGTTTCGTATGACTCGGTACCCCTTAGACGATTGGAAGAGAATAAGAAATAGGATCTCACAAGAGGGACAAAGAAACTCCTGCAAGACGCAAGGACCTCATGGATAATTAAGAATTTCCTATAAACACATCCATTAACTTACTTGGAAACGACCTTCGGTCTCATTAGGGCTAGGTCAGGTATAATAATACAAATTGACTTTCCATGTATAAACGAGTCACCAGGAAGACAATGCCAGACAGGAAACCGAAGTCAGGCAATCGGGTTCTCTTGCTACTAGTGGGAATTGTTAGGCTTGGGTAAATCATAAATGTTTTCCAGAGGAAGTATTATTGCTTTAGGGAAAGGTCCTAGAATTATCAGAGGTCTGTATTGCTTGATTTAACATTGATAGGCACGTGTGTTATATGTATATATATATATATATATATATATATATATATATATATATATATATATATATACACACACA